TATATTGTAGCCAATTAAGTATATGATAGCATTGTCAAAAAACAATGTACATACCTTAATTTAAAAATATTTTACTGCTAGAAATTGCTAACCCTCAGTTGAGCTTTCAGCAAGGTGTAATCTTTTTGCTAGTGGACGGTCTTACCTTCATGCTGATGGCAGCTGACTGATCAGAGTGGGGGTGGCTGAGGCTGGGGTGGCTGTGGCAATTTCTTGAAATTAAACAATTCCTAAGATTTTACATGGTTACCATATTATTTATACTCTACTTTGTTTTTATACGATCATTTCTCTATTAGAAAATCCAGAATAGGGATTCATAAAATTATACTTCAGAACTAGGAAGTCTTAGAGATTATGTAACAAAATCTAGCTCTCTTGTATTACAATGATGAAAAGACTGAAGTCACACTGCTAAGTTACCTGCTCAGAGCTTTCTAGTATAAGTCAGTGCAGAGCAATTTAAACAAACATCAACAAAATATTCACTATGTGCAGGACCCTAGGCTGGAGATAGAATGAGAAACAAAAACTGTCTCTACTTGTCCAACATACACAAGCTAGTAAAGGGCCCAGACACATATACATGAAGCCACTACTGAAGGCACACATGCTAAAGGAAGAAGAAATTAATTTCTATCATTTTTAGTGAGATTTGAGAAAACTTCCTAAGGGGGAAACATTTGAACAGGAGTTTAAATAATTAACACACTGCTGTTGTAGACAGGAAGTGGGAGCACAGCAGGAAAAAGCCAAGAAGCAAAAGCATATTCAGAAAAAGTTAGTGAGTGTGGCTGGGATGGAGTGACAGAAGATAATCTAAGGAAGCAAAGTGTGGACAAATCCTAACAGCCATTGTCTTCTATTTTATTCTTTAGCCCACTTCTTCATTCCCCCGACCCAAGAACCTACGACAGAGTTAAATATAATGGGAACTCAGTTCCCATTACTTTCATGTCGTATAGGAGAAGTGAAATTTAGAAAGAATAAGTAACTTTTCCAAAAATCAGAGTCAAAAAGTTATTTACACACAACTTATCTGTCTCCAATACCTATTAACTAAACCACAATAAAAGCTAACAAACGCACCAATCAAAAAATTTACAATGATTATTGATCTCCAAATACCAACAGCTCTACTGCAGAAGAGAGACAATGAGAAGAGAACAGGGAAAGGCTTCTTGTCAGTCCTAACTCAATTGCATTTCCTAATCTTAAAGTATGTTTTGTCCTGAGATCGAAGGATGCTCTGGAGACTACAGTATAAAGTTTAGAATTTCCTATAACTGGGATACCTCAGGCAATTTATTTTACTACGACACAGTCCATAGTCATGTAAGCAAGTAACTAGAGAGGTATATAGTAAAGCTGAAGGCTCCCAACATGGTTGGGAGAGTAACATATTCAGAGGGATCAGAAGATTGTTGTATTTACAATGTCCGTTGGGTAATAGTTAATCCTGATCCTCTCAGGGTTATGCAATACGCTGGCAGAAAGGTGGGAGAACAAAGCAGAGACTCTGGCTATCCCGCTCGCCGCCAAAATCCCCGAGCCTAAAGCAGAGTCTGGCACAGAGGCACTTAATAATTGACAGACTGGCAAGGAGGACTTATGCCCGTCTGCAAGTCCGAGCAAAGAAACTTACCCCGAGGCCAACGTCCCCCTCAGATTCTGCATCCATAGCGCGCCTGAAATATCAATACAGTCATTCAATAGACGCCCACCTCCACTCCCTCTACCACTCCTTTACCACTAAGAAATTCTTACCCAACCGTTCTAGTATTGCCGCCATCTTTCTCCCTCCCTCTACGGAAGCCTCCTAGCTCACGCGACATCTGGGCAAGACGCATGCGCAGTCCTCCGAATTTCTTAGCCGGCAACCTAGTGGTGTTGTCATGGAGACGGCAACACGCAGCCCAAGCTCAACGTGTGGTCAGGTCAGCCCAGCTTGGGAATGAATGACTTAACAAAGGCCGAAAACTACTTAGTTTCCGGAAATTCACCGGGATCCAGAAAAATTGGAAAACCTCACCACACAAATGGTTTGAAAGGATTAGAAAAACAGAGGACTTAAACAAACCAAGCTAACCTGAGTGGGCCTCCATTTTCTCGTCAGAAATAAATATCCCTAGGCCCAGGCTTGTAAAGATCACTAGAGATCGTGTGCTAAACTCTTGTAAAAAACAGTTAAAGTACAAAGTAAGATGTTCTAATTCCTGTTAACATGAACAAGGTAGTAAAAACAGGAAGGACTCCATCTTAAAGATAAGATTGCATTTTAAAATCCAAGAAGTCAAAAAGTAAGTTTCTTAACATACTAGACAATAACTCAGCCCACCTTGGGAGCAGGACAGGCAGTCTTGGTTGATATGCTCCCAGACCAAGAAGCTGCTATTCTGGGAAAGAATCGAAGCAGTAAATTTGTGTTAACTTTGCAAAATAATCCGGAAGACTGATAAGAAACTTAGTGTCTCTTCAAAAATAAACATTTGGGGACCATTTAGCGGGTCTGTATCATTAGCCCTTTGTCTCTCAACCGCCTATAAAACCCCTAGACAATGCACAACTACGGATTCTCTTGTTCCCTCCTGGCGCAAGCCAGGAGCTCTTTCCTCTTAATTTATCTCTAAATAAAACCCTGTCGCTTGCTCGCCTACTTTTGAGTGTTTGCGAAGTTCATCCTTCAACTCCGTGAACAAGAACACCGGCATCACAAAGCTGGAGCATAGCGTTCCAGAAATATTTGATGGGATAGTGGTTGAACAGATCCAAAGAATGAACCTGTGGTACAGGGAGACGACTCCACCCGTCTAACCCCTTAATTACACAGTTCCTAGTTGCAGGGAGTGAGAACGCCTAACCGCGGGGCTGGGATCTAGCCTCACCAGATCCTACAGCCGCGGGTGGAGTCGGGAGGCACAGCGCGCAGCCCAGCCCAGCCCTTCCGAGCCCCGCGGCAACGGGCGCGGGCAGCGCGGTGCAGCCTGGGCCTCTGCGCGCGCCGTAGCGGCGGGCCGAGGAGGCGGAGCCCCGCACTAGCTCCACCCCCTTCCCGGCTGCGGCGTGAGGTTCTGAACAGTCTGCGGCGGAGGTTGCTCCCCTCGTCCTTCTTGGCCGGTGGTCATGGGACCGGAGCCGTGCACGCTGCCGCCCTCCCCTAACTGGTACTGCGCCCGATGCAGTGATGCCGTGCCCGGGGGCCTCTTCGGCTTCGCAGCGCGGACCTCTGTCTTTCTTGTCCGCGTGGGCCCCGGCGCGGGCGCGATTCCTGGGACGCCCCCATTTCGAGGTAATTCCCCACCTCTGGGCCCCCGCCTTCCTGCAGTCCTTGGCGTTCCCTGGAGGTGCCAAGTGGGCGTCTCTAGCCATTTCTCTCTCAGATGGGGAAACTGAGGCCCAGCCCAGCGAAGGGTTTGCTCACAGTCAGTTAAATCGCTGTTCAGGTCTCCAAGATTGAACTACACCACGCTTTGCTGAGCGGTCCCGCCTCCTGGCGCTCTCACGTGGTACCGTTCACTCACTGAAAAGTTATCCCGGTCTAGACCCAGGCATTTACAACATCTATGGACGCCCTCCCCTACCCAGCGGCGGGCCCCCTACGAGCCCTCCTGCGGTTGGGGGCTGCTTACAGCTCCAGGCCCTAAGCAGGTCCTGCAAATATGATACTTATCTCTGTAAGATGATTGATTACCCAGATGCCCTCAGGCCCCAAACTTTATTTAGGTTTTGATTATGTGTTGAGATACAGCGTGCCAGATATTTATTCGATTCCAATCGACCTCTGGCCGGATCTAAGTAAGAATCACTTTACATTCTTCATTTAAGCTGCTCCTCAGCCTGTGAACTAGGCCCATCAAAGAATATGGACAGCATTTTACAGTTGAGAAGACCGAGGCTCAAAGAGATAAAATGACTTGTCTGAAGTCATGTGGCAGAGCCAGTACCAACATTTGGGGTTTCTGATTGTTCTGAGTCCCTGAATGTATTTGTTATACGGTGGGATAAGTGAGATTCCACCCATCTAACAACAGTATGATTCTGCCAGGAATCCTTGGTAGATCTTTAACCTGGAGTCTGGTTTTCCTTGAAGTCATAGGAGAATTGGTGGGACACATGGAAAGGGTCTCTGGCTTCACATTTTCTCATCATCCCGGTCAGTACAACCTCTGTGCCACCAGCTCTGACGATGGGACTGTGAAAATCTGGGATGTAGAGACAAAAAAAGTTGTGACAGAACATGCACTCCATCAGGTACCACAGCTTACTGGTTTCTCTGATCGTTTTTTACATCTGTGCCAATGGTTCTTTTGCTTCCAATATGGCTTTTCTAGCTCATATGTGCAAGGTGACTTTAATAATGGTGTCCATTAATTAGATAAGAAGCTCTGTATTACAAGGTGCTTCAAAACTTTTTTGGAAAGAGATACGAATAAACCAGAGGTCAGCAAAAAGCACTGCTGCCTGTTTTTGTAAATCATTTCATTGGGATACAGCCACCATCATTCATTTAAATATTGTCTACAATTTAAGTATAGGCTGCCTGCATACTACAGCAAGAGTTGATGAGTTGCACCAGAGACAGTATGGCCCACAAAACCTAAAATATTTACTATCTGGTTCTTTACATAAAATAAACTATAAATGAGTGAACAAAACTTGTTTCTAAACCAGATGATGATTTAATATACCTGCCTTTCGAGAGAATGTAGGAAAGGAAAAGACTCACTTAATCTTAGTAAAAACTACATTACAGTATTAAACAAAGAAAAAATTTAAATGACTCATTGATCCTCAATAGCTTTCATTCTTTTTCGTTAATGTAATCTTGCTGTACAAGTGGTACATTTTATTACTTACAATGTTTCTGGTATTATACAGGTTAAAAACTAAAAATTCAGCATTGATCTATTAGAAGCAAATATATTTTTGTTTTGTCTTAAAGCACACAATATCAGCACTGCATTGGTCTCCTCAAATAAAGGATTTAATAATATCTGGAGATGAAAAAGGAGTAGTTTTCTGTTACTGGCTTAACAGGAATGACAGCCAACACCTCTTTATAGAACCCAGGGCAATTTTCTGTCTTACTTGCTCACCTCATCATGAAGATATAGTAGCCATTGGGTAAGTACTGAACATCTGCATTCGTAATTTATTTTTGTTTATGTTCATATTTTGCATTAGCTTTATCTTCTCCTGTCCCTTTACTCCTCAAAGGAAATCATTTACAAGTGTTAACTACTCTCCCTGAACCCATGGTATCATTTATTCCTATGACTCTAAGGCTTACTCTCTCTCCTACTCTGTTTTTGTTCCCTTGGTTTCCATGATACTCTGCTTTACTCATTCTTCATATCTAGTTTCTTTTAGTCAACCTCCAAATGTAAGGAATGTCCTCATTCACCTGTTTCTCCCACTGTACTTGCCCTTGGATATAACATTTACTCCAAGAGTGTCATGACTCAGCTCTGTCTCTCAAGTTCTCAGCACCTCATCTAGAATGGGAAGTGATCTGGCATTGGGATCTGTCCTCTCATTGATCACCAGGATTGTTTCACACGAGCTGCCTGGGTGGGCATCCCCCTTTCCCTCACCAGTCCATTTACTTCTCTCCCAAAGCTGTCGCTTCACTCTAGTTTGGAGACCTGACATAAGCACCGCAGTGCTGGAGAAGAAAGTCTGACTGGAATGGAGTCAAGAGATTGTGGGGGGTAAGGTAGTAAAGAAACACATGAAGACAATTTTTTCACAAAGGCTGTTGTAAAACTGTGCATAGACTTGAAGCCAGAGGAGGTATATGGGGGTCAAAGGAGTATTAAATGGAAGATAACAAGGGCATGTTTTGATGTTAATGGAAGTAAGGAAGAAGAGAGAGTTTGCTGCAGGGTAAACAGTGATAAATGCAGGAGAGATGTTGGGAAGTCAAGAGGACTGGATCCACGTCACAAGTAGGAAAGTGAGAATATGGAAATAGATGCAGGTAGGTTTGTAAATCTGGTTGGAAGAGGAGGGTGTTTGATTCTGATGGCTTCTCATTTGTCAGTGAAGCATAAGTCAAAGAGGTGGAGTAAAGTTCAGGGTAGGGATGGAACTGGATGTCAGTCCAGTAGTCAGAAGTAAGACATGGTCATGAATTTAAAGTAATCTACTCAAACTGATAAAGGAGATGGTTGGATTCATCCAGGTTTGGGTTTTGTGGAATAAATGTCCCTAAGAGGGGACAAAGGAGATAAGGGTATTTTTAAAAGAATCATTATAATGATAGATCCTGAAATCTGTGCTGCATGGGAGGAAGGATAGGAAGACAGGAGTGGTAAATAGTGAAAATGGAAGGGGTCTGTGATGGGTGGTCTAGTAGGAGTGTTGTTGCAGTGAGGATACTAGAGACAGAGCAGTTCTAGGTACAGAGCAGAAAGGGTGGTAAACAGGGTTCAAAGAAGTTGAGTCAAACTGACCTTCAAAGATGAGCAGGAATTCACAAGATGATGATTTGTTTTTAGAGGATCTTCAAAACAGTGATTATCCCTGAAGGCTTGATTGAAATTGCAAAACAGTTTGATCAATCACATCCCTGTGAGGTTGCACAACTCAGTGGTCTTCAAAGTCCATGTCTTCAAAGATTTATATTATATGATCTCATTTTTTAAATAAAGCAGTAATGGGGAAAAGAATTTTAGTAAAAGAAAAATAAATAAAGCCATAATGGTGTTTTTCCCTATAAGACTGTCTAATATGCAGGAAATGTAAAATAGGTGCACCCATTGTGGAGAGCAATTTTGCACTTTCTAGTAAAACAAAGATGTGGGTATCATCCATCCTGGCAGTTCTGTTACTAGACATCAAACCTAAAATTGTCTTAGGCATATATAAGATTATTAATAGCATTTTTTGTTTGTAATAGCAAAAAAGTGGAAGCCTTTCAAAAGGAAAGTGAATAAATAACTTGTGGTGTTATACAGTAGTATAAATGATCAGGAACTGGAGTTCCACAAGTCAATATGGATGACTTACAAAGAGAATGTGAAAAAAACGAGCTACAGAAAAATACTGTTTGATGCCACTCTGTATCTCATTTAGGAATATATGCAAAGAAAAGCTAGGAATGATGTAACACAAAATTCACAAATAGCAACTTATCTCTAGGGAATAAAGGGAGAGAGGTTTGGTTGGAATGGGTTTTGCAGAGGATTGCAACCATCCTGATTTTTTCTTAAGATGGGTAGTAGATACCTCCTTATGTGTCTGAAATACTTCATAATTTAAAATTTAAAAAAAGACTTATTAGGATTCCTCAGTTTCTTCAGAATTCAAAAATTGACAGCCCTGGAATATCCACATCTAGAAATTACAGTTCTGTAGCTTTTGTTAAAAGTCCATAGTTAAAACAATAGGATTGCTTGTGAAACGGAGGGGGTTTTTTTAGTGTGTTAGGGTAAAATCTTCTCTAATTAGAGGAATTGCTAGGCCCCTAAAATAACTATTTTTCTATAAATTCTCAAGCAAGCTCAACTGTTCAAGCTTTGTGACAGGAACAAGGGTTTAATCATTGGGATGGGTGTTTTAAAAGCTAGGAAGCACAATAAGCACTTTGGAAAAAGGACAAAACAAGATTATTTCTTGTTCTTTTCCCTTCTCCCCTACCCAAATGTACTTTTAGAAATGCACAATAAAAATTGCTAAGCCAAATGTTTATTAGAGAGACTGTTCTGTCTTCATTTTTCAGTAATATTTCTAACTCTTGTGTTTTAGCTACAAGGATGGTATAGTGGTTATAACTGACATCAGTAAGAAGGGAGAAATTATTCACAGACTTCGAGGCCATGATGATGAGATCCACTCTATAGTCTGGTGTCCCCTGCCTAGTGAAGAATGTTTATCCATAAATCAAGAGGAGAATTCAGGTAGAGATGATTTAAGAGGATTCAGTACTTTAGACCTAAAGAATAAAGTGGGTAAAATTGTATCATTTGAATTATATTTAAACTGTAGGTTTTACAGATCAGATCTATGCTTTCATAGATCTGAACACTGGCACACTAATTTTTCTTTGATAAGTGCAAGTTTCATACAAATTCAAAACAAAATTACCATCTCTATCCTAGAAGAACCTGAAATTCCCAATGGGAAAGTTATAGCACAAACTCCAGTAACAAAAGGCTGCTACTTAGCTACTGGAAGCAAAGATCAAACCATTCGAATCTGGAGCTGTTCTAGAGGCCGAGGTAAGATTGTCTGATGTTGCTTTTGTAATATATTCTGTTTATGTGGTAGAAAGAGCAGTGTTTTTATTCTTTCTTGTTTAAGGGTGTGTCATCTGTCAGAAAGCAATTCTTTCCCTTCTCTCCAGAAAGTTGCTTCCCCAGGGTAGCCCGGACTAGAACTCTCTATGCCCTGAACATCTGGCTTTGGTGTTGGAGCAGAGAGTTTCCAATGCATTCATATAGAATGGTCACTCTTTGGCAGGAAGGTAAGATGTTTGTTATGAGAATGAGGAATGGAAAAGATTTCTAGAGAGCTAGAGCTTTTAATGCACAAATGCAGAATAAATAATATACTCCCAATGTAGGTGGATGTTTTAAATGTTAAAGCTCAGTTTATCCAAATTAAAGAGACCCTTAGTCATTTATTTAGCTTTCCCAAGTTTCTCTTTTACCTTAAGCTTATAAGTAAAGAGTAACTCCAAGCAGAGTGGATGTTTTAATTACATTAAAAATCTAGCCTTTCTCTTTACAAGTCTTCTTTCTCTACTATTTAAAACCATGAAATTCTTTTCATCTTTATCTAAATGCACTAGTGCATATAAAGCAAATAGCATAATGCTTGACACATAGTTATGGCTTAGTCAACAATAACTAGCAGTATAATTTTGGGAAACAATTTTTTAAAGAGCTGTGGACCGCTTTTGCATATGCAACAGCTGATAATTTCCAAGTAGAAACAACATCCGGCTAAGATTCCTCCAGAAGGATAATCTCTAAGCTTATGGGTGTCTAGTACAGTGGTCTTTAATTCTGATTGTTCAGCAAAATCAGCTAGAGAGGTTTTGGAAAACATGGGTGCCTAAACCCCATCTCAAATCTACTGAATCAAAATCCCTAGGAGTTGGTCCCTGGCAAATGTATGCTTATAAGCTTCACTGGTGATTCTGATACACAGTTGGAAGTAAGAACCACTGGTTAGCAGCATGTCAGGGGTAGAGGGACTTCCCTGCTACTGTATGTTGACTGGCTTTGTTGGATTTCTTGCTAACTAGAAAAAGGAATCCCACCCTCTGTCTTCCAACTTCGGAGAATTCTGGGTTACCTTACTACCTGAGTTCTTGATTCCACTTGAAAACTAGTGTTCTCTAACAATATTCTTAATGTGTATAAGTTGTCAAGACAGCCTTTAAAAGCTAAATTAGCTGGACTAGTATTAACCACTATTTGTAATAACATTTCCATGAGAAAATGAGGTCTGAATCCTAAGTAACCAAAGAAACTCTTAAACCACAAATTATATAGTGAAATGGGGGGGCCTCATGCCTGTAGTCTCACTCTCATGAGTGCCCACTGACCTTCTTTCAATGTGTAGGAGTGATGACTTTGAAATTGCCCTTTCTGAAGAGAAGAGGAGGGGGTGTAGACCCAACTGTTAAAGAGCGACTTTGGTTGGCACTCCATTGGCCCAAGGAGCAGCCAACACAGCTGGTATCTAGCTGTTTTGGGTAAGTTTTTTTCTTTCTCGTCATGTTCTCTCTGACATATTTTATTGTCCTCTCTAGGCTCAAGAATTCCTAAGTTTCTATGTCTAGACACAGAAGGTGCAGAAAGCAGTAATAACTAAGGCTTGTTTTATCATGGGCCATTTATAATGGAAAAATCAGGGGACTAATACCTATACTGTCTAGTAACAGAGTTGTGGGAGGATAAGTATACCCTGGTGGTTGAGTGTGGACTCTGAGTCAGGCAGAAATGAATTGTAGAATTAGTCGGTTATTTACTTGCAGTGTTCATGAGCAAGACCCTTCACTTTTCTGAGCTTCATTTACTTCATGTGTAAAAAAGGGAAGTTATAGGATTTCCTATCTCTCAGGATGATTCTAGCCATTCATTAAACCAAATTTAGTGAGTACCAGCTTCCAGTTGCTTGTCTATTAAATGAATTAAAAATGTTAATTCAATTTAAAATGAATTAAACAGATAAGATCCCTGCTTTTAAATGAGGATAAAGCACATAAAAATCCCCCAAAACATTAGTTAAGGCCCTACTCCCCCCACTGCCTCAAGCAAGAGATATTACGTCTTAAAGCCTTTGGTGCTTTGCAAATTATGATGGCATTTTATAATTAAAGCTATTAGGAAAATCTGTTCAAAAGGTAGTCCAGTACATTAACATGATTAAAAAAGATTGAAAGTATATAATAAAGTATTGCTTCCACTCTGTCTTCTGGAGGAACATTGTTCTCCTCCCAATAGGCAATGACTCCTTGTTTTTATGAGTGTTCTTCCAAGAGATATTTTGTGTATGTTTCAGAATATGCAATTTTTGTCTCCTTAAAGGAACAATTAACAGAAATTATTCTGTACCTGAGGGCCACTCTCTGGCCCACAATCACATATTTTCAGATTGCTTGTGAAAGAGAACTAATGTTTGTTTTTCCGTACAGAGGTGAACTGCTGTTATGGGATCTCACTCAGTCTTGGAGACGGAAATATACCCTCTTTAGTGCTTCATCAGAAGGCCTGAATCATTCAAGAATTGTGTTTAATTTATGTCCTTTACAAACTGAGGATGGCAAGCAGCTACTGCTTTCCACATCAATGGACAGAGATGTAAGAACTGCTTATTTTGTGTTCAGCATTGTAGAGCAGTGGTTTATGACTTAGATGGGATTACTCGGCTTTTTCAAACCATCCATCAGCTCTCGCACCCCACTTTGCCCCTAGTTCCAATATCAGAGTAACAGTTACTGACAGTCACTGAACACATTAACAGGAGGTAGGGAAAATGAGAGACGACCAAGATGCCTTTTTGTTAAGCAGGTATGATAACAGTAGATATGTCCAGGGAAAGGTGAATGAGATTACTGTACGTCATACAGCTTTAAAATATCCTTGGCTGTAGTTTAAGTAGCAGACTCATCTACTCTTCATGAAATCAAAGAGAGAACTGACTTTATTTAAGAGTCTATGACATCACTATTTTTAGTTAAACTCAGCTTATCTGATAGACTGTTTTCTCCCAAGCCCCTCTGTTAAATAAGTGATGATTAAAAACTTAGCACTCCTCTTCCTTCAGGTATTAGAAGGTATTCTGCTCTTTTTGAAATAGCAGCTCTGATATTTCCACTGTCCTGAGGCCATCTTCATTCTTATTTGGAATTTGCCAGATGATATTACCAATGCAGTAATACAGTAGAGTGGAAAGGCCACTGAACTCTGGGAGATGGGAGATCTGGGTTCTGGTTTATTAATTGTGTGACCCTAAATTCACTTGATATTTCTGGGAATAAATGTATTCTAAGATCCCTTTGAGCTCTACTATTTATTACTGATTTTTCTAAGAGATGCTTTATTCAACTCCTACTGGAGTAGTTATATTACATTAACTTTACCCACTCTTTGAGCGCATCCTGTTTGAAATGTTGGTTGTTTTTCTGTTTCTCTGATCTTATTTATATTTAGTCCCTAACCCTTAATTTTTTCAGGTAAAATGTTGGGACATGGCCACTCTGGAGTGCTGCTGGACCCTGCCTTCCCTTGGTGGCTTTGCCTACAGTCTGGCTTTCTCTCCTGTAGACATGGGCTGTTTGGCCATAGGCGTTGGGGATGGCATGATCCGAGTATGGAATACACTCTCCATAAAGAACAACTACGATGTAAAACATTTTTGGCAAGGTGTCAAGTCCAAGGTTACAGCAGTAAGGATGCTTTGTCAACTTTTTTCAAATACGTATTCTTCTAGAGAATACTTGTTTACTTTGGTAAACTGGTGGGATCAAAGGTTTGTTCACGGGTACTTTCCATGGAGATGGAAACTGGGAAAGCAGAAGACCCTCTCTAACCAAACCCATCATCTCCAAATTCAGAATTTAAAATTAACGCTTACTTCAAGTATGTTTTCTAAAGGTAAAAAATTAGAAATAACTTAGATGTGCATTCATAGAAGACACATTGTTATAGCCACATGTTGGAATGGTACTCAACTATTAGAAATGATAATGTAGATCTTTCTTTCTGGAAAGGTATTAATGATTCATGAAAAATGCCAATTACAAAACATGGAATGCAGATTACATGGAATGCAGAAAACAGGATGATTTTTTTGTTTTTCGGTAAAGTGATACCTCTGTTGCAGCTCTTAGTCTAAAAACAATATATGTTGTAGTTTAAAAAGAAAACCAAAACAGTGCAGAAATGGAGAAAGCAAAAATTTTTTCCTGCCCTCCATTCCATTCTCCCACTTATACAATCCAGAGAACCACTGTTGATAATTTGTGATGTGCCTTTCCACATTTTGTTAGTTATTAATAGAATCATATTTTTTAATTGTTCTGGAATCTTCTATCCACCATTGAACAGTGTATCATGCACATCATTTATATGTTTGAACCTTTTTTTTATAATTGTATGCATCAAGTTTATGCACACAAAATGTCTGGAAAGATGCAAAATTGGCAATGGGAGTTTTGGATGGTGAGATTTGGGTGACTTTTACCTTGTTTTTAATACTTCTTTGTTTCTCTCTTAAATAATGAGAATGTGTTAACTTTTAAAATTAGAAGCCACCAGGAGCAGTAGGTTTTCCATTTGAATGCTTGAAGGATGACCTAAGGATTCCTCTAACAAGATGCCCCTTTCCTCATATATTTTGTAGCTGTGCTGGCACCCAACCAAAGAAGGCTGCTTAGCTTTTGGAACTGACGATGGAAAAGTGGGATTGTATGACACCTACTCCAACAAGTAAGAAATAGATGATTCTTGTTTAGCCCACTGACCAAAATGTCAGCAACTGAGATGAATTCATAAACCTAGATATACATCACAGTTGGCCTGGGACACATCTTGAAGATTCTGGCTCTGAAACTGGGTTGTGACTTGGAATGTTGTTTTTTTTTTCTATTTTTTCAAATGATGGTGGTTCAACCCATCTGACCTATGGGAACCACTTAAATAAGCCATTTGTTTTTGTTTTCCCTCAACTTTGTTTAAAACAGGTACTGTCAAGCATCCATGAATGTTGAAAGCCTATTACAAAGAACATCTCCATATCTTTCATCTAGGCTCACCAGTTTTAACATCTTGCCATACTTGCTTTACCTGTGTACACTTAGAAAATAAACAATAATTCCATAATGTGGTCTAATATTCAGCCCAGTGGGCTAGAATTGTTTTTCTTAGCTGTTTTGTGTTTGGTTTTTTTTTTTTTCAAATTAGTTTTCAGTTAAGGTTCAGATGTTTCATTTTATGTCTCTTTAGTCTCATTTCAGAATAGTACCCCCACTTCTTTACACAACATTGCCTTTTCAATTTGAAGATTTCAGATAATGTTTAGTAGAATATTCTATATTTTGGACTTGTCTAGTTATCTTTTTGTAGTGACTTCTACCTGTTCCACTAGTCACTGTATTTCCTATAAACTTGAAGTTTTGTCTAGAGCTACATTATTTAAGTCTACTTTTTTTCTTTGAAGATTTTTTTTTAATTAAAGTATCATTGATACACAATCTTATGAAGGTTTCACATGAGCAACATTGTGGTTTCAACATTCACCCATATTATCAAGTCCCCACCACCACCCCATTGCAGTCACTGTCCATCGGCATAGTAAGATGCTATAGTCATTACTTGTCTTCTCCGTGCTATACTGCCTTCCCGTGACCTACCTATATTGTTTGTGCTAATTATAGTACCCCTTAATCCCCTTCTCCCTCCCAACCCCTTCTTTTTGGTAACCGCTAGTCCCTTAGAATCTGTGAGTCTGCTGCTGTTTTGTTCCTTCAGTTTTGCTTTGTTGCTATACTCCACAAATGAGGGAAATCATTTGGTATTTGTCTTTCTCTGCCTGGCTTATTTCTTAAGTGTACATTATTAAGTACAAACTACTGAGAATGCTGTAAGTGTAAAACATACTCTTGAGTTCAAAAATTTAGTTCCAAAAAATGTAATTTCAACAATTATTTATTTTGATTATATTTTAAACTATAATACTTTTTAGATATTAAGCTAAATAAAATATACTATTTGGATTTTACTTGCTTCTTTTAATTCTGTTAATGTGGTTATTAGAAAACTTTTAAGTTACCTATGTGGCTCTTATTTATGGCTCACATTATAAATCTATTGGACATAGCTCGTCTAGGTGTTTATTTAGATTCCAGGCCTGCACTGTTAAGGTAGCCATTAGCCACATGTGACTATTTATACTTAAAGTAATTAAAATTAAATGAAAGTAGAAATTCAGTTCCTACATCCCGTGAGCTACATTTCAAATGCACAGTGTGGCTAAGGGCTACCTTACTGCTCCCCTGTTCTAGGTCATTGGCTTCTAAGTGGGAATCATTTATTATACTGTAGAGCTAACCTTCTTAAATGTAGTTCTTTAAATACTTAGGTATAATCTACATGCATGTAGTTAACAATTTTTCTCGATTTTTAATTCTCAAAAAAAAAAACACTTTCAAAGAGGCATTTAAGAAAATAAAAATCGATAGAAATATTCCTGTGTCACACAAAACTGTCAACTAATTCCGCTAAATTACGGTCTTCTGGTTGTTATAAGCTGAATATTCAAACAAACACAAGAAAAAATATGTAGTAAGAGGAAAGAAGTAGACATAGACATATTGTTAGACATTCAGCCAGAACTGCTTATTCTATTTCTTTTAGCCAAAGAAATTCTGGTTTATTGTCTAGAATGACAATGATAAACATGTCAGATATAAACAGCTAGTTTGGTTATAGGTTCTAGAATCCTGAAATTCTAAAATTATACAAAGAATATGGTCTACATTAAAGGTAATAAGCACACTGCCCTTTACTGACACATCACACATCATTAATTACCACAACAGCTTTAAAAAATACCATTGTGAGCAAGTTTTCTCTAAAAAAACAGAAACTTTAAAATCTGTCTCCTCTAAAATCTTGTCTTAGTTTAAGAATGTGATGTTAATGACAGGATAGGCCGAAAATGATTTCCAAACTTACTTCAGTATGAGGTGGATACATTTCCGTGGTGATAATATATGCTCCGCACTAACCTTGGTTTTGGACAGTTTGCATTTTCTATCCTGTCATATTTTTTTTCTAGTTGTAATAGTCTTTATAGTGCTATACAGCTACAATAATATTAAAATATTTGACATTTGGTGAAGTGGGCAACTCAGAGAGAGATGGAAAATGATCCCAAACGGACAAGATGAGTTGGGGATATAACATTTTTTTCTGGTTAAAGTATGTTTCAAACTTAAATTATTTTGGTAGTAGACATCATTACATGGTATGTTTTTAAAAATTACTTGCTTTTTTACAATAACCATTTGTAGAAAGGTACTATTCAATTGTGTTTCTCTAGTATAAGCAATTAAGGGACCTTTTAGGAAAAGCTGGTCTGTTTTACACTATGCCTTTTGTTTAAATCTTTCTGTTTGTACCTTCCCCCACAGACCTCCACAGATTTCTAGCACATATCATAATAAGACTGTGTACACTTTAGCCTGGGGGCCACCAATACCCGCCTTGTCATTCGGTAAGTGTCTGAGCCATTCTCTAATAAACACTGAAGGTATTCTGTATCTTTCAGTTTGATCCTAGTATTCAAGCTGGAAAGAGTCATAAATACTCTAGTGCAATGACTGCTTCTGGGGATACTATTCCTCACGGTCCATCAGGGCAGACCTGGTAAGTTGGAAACTTCCCCCTATAAGAAGCTTCCTCAAACTCTAAAGCATTATTTAGTGTCTTTGAGCTGAATTTTGTCATTGTGCATATAGTTACATCATGTTGGGTCCTGATACCCCCTCTCATGTTTTCACTAAAATTTGCTACCACCTCTTAGTTTTATCAAAATTAGAATGTTATTTCACTACATTACTGGAGTAATATCATCTGTTTTCACCTGCAGTTAAAGCAAACAGAATTTTTCAAATGATTTCTTCTTGGCTTCAGTTGTATTCTGACCATTTCCCTCTTCTAGCCCCTTGGCTTGTCTTTCTCTTTCTTATCCCTAAAGCAGTAAGTCTTTCAGAATACCTTTATAATCAGTGTGTTCAGCACAAATCTTTCGTAAACTTTTCTTAACTGTCTATAATGAAACACCTGTAAGTTTCCATAGTGATTGTGTTAACACAGAGAGGATAGTGTGAATCACCAGAACTCAGGCAGCATTATACTTGTAGTTCATTCATTCATTCAACAAATGTCTTAGATCTTTGATTTGTGCCAGGCATAGTTCATCAGTTGTGAAAATAAAACTTGCCCTTGCAGAGACCCACCAGAACCAGTTTGCATCTTAAAAACCAACAAGAGGATTACTATAATACTAAAGAAATCATTGTTATGAGGACAGCTCCTTATAGTCAGTCATAGGAAGTCCTGCAGCTCCATATATCTAAATGCCCAAAGAGTACAGTTTTCATTTCTGGAAGGAAAGGTAAATTCTCAAAAACTTTGAGAACATGTTTTCAGATCCCAGCTTTGGTACCCCTACTGTTTTGAACAGTGGAAGAATGTTTAAGGTAAATATGTTGCCTTATAAATATTAATGTAGAATTAACACCTTTTTTTACTTCTCCCAACAGCTGTGTTCAGATGCAGACAATGTGACTGTTCCAATGTCTTAATAAAATTATTTTAAAACAACTCATAGTATGGTATGGTTGTACTACAGCAGCAAATAGTTAAGCTGGTAACAAAACTGATAAACTTTCCTTTCTTACCTCATGTAGGAGGAGAAGGAGACAGACCTTCCCTTACTTTGTACAGCTGTGGAGGGGAAGGGATTGTCTTACAGCATAATCCCTGGAAGCTTAGTGGAGAGGCCTTTGACATCAATAAACTCATCAGGGACACCAATTCAATCAAAGTGAGTCCTTGTGGTCTAATAAAGTCTTTGGATCTCTACAATTGTCCTGGTTTCCCATTCTTGCATAATAAATGCCATTATGAGAGATACCTATTATGCTCAGTCAGATTTCTTAGATCCGAATGGTGCTTTGTCTCAATTGCAATGGTGATTTATTATAAACTTTCACGTCTTAGATATAAAGCAATCTTTTCAGGCTAGCCACTTCCTCCAAAGTGAGTCCTTGGCAAAAATAACTATAATATGATGTCCTAGTACAGCTGCAACGTATTTTACTCAAGACAGAACTGTCATTTTGTTCTTAATTTTCTAGTGAAAAAGTTACAGGTTTACACAAAAGCTGCAAAAATAATAAATGCCTTTGTATCCCTGACCGAGATTCCCATATTTAATCACATTTGCTTTACTATTCTATCAATATATCTCTGTCAGAACTGTCTTTTGAAGTGGAGAATTCCATACTCTTTCAAATGAGTATTTTTTATTACTTTTGTATGGCTAGCATAAAAATAACACTTAATCATAAATAGAATTACTCTTATTGACTATATTCCTTCATTGTCTTAAATGTTATTGAACGCTTAACTGAGCAATGAATAAGACAAAATTCCTGTCCCTACCGAGCTGTTAATTTTGTGGCAGTTGAGTATATGGATCAGATGCTCATACACGTAGTTTGAGCTGGAAATAGAAATTTGTGAATTTCTACTTCATGTGAATGCTAGCTGAAGAAGCTGGGGGTCACATATGAGTTGATCTAAAAAAGACAAGAAAAGAAGAGGGCCCAGACAGCATTGAGGAACAAAAACACATAGAATGGTTTGAAAAAGAAACTATTCTGGAAAAGAAACAGAAGGGATAAGAAGAGAAGGACAGTGTACATAGCTTTTGTTAAAGACTTTGACCCCCACATATTGTCAAAGCCAACAGACACATTTCATTCTTTACCAGAGAATAAAAATCATGTTAATGAAGTTCATTTCACAGAGTTAGACACTGTAGACATTTAGCATTTGCTGGCCTCTTTTTTTGTCCAAATTAGGAAATATAATTAGAGTACTTTTCAGAACTGTTTGGCTGATTAAGTAGATTATTTACAAAAATAGCTATTGTATAATTAGAACATTTTTTAACTCTAGGGATTTTTTTTTCTCATGCTGTCACCATTGATTGTTAAGATGCCTAGAGAGAAGAACAATGCTTTTAGTCAGGATTGGTTTGTTTTGCTTTCTAGTACAAATTGCCTGTACACACGGAGATCAGCTGGAAAGCAGATGGCAAAATCATGGCTCTTGGCAATGAAGATGGGTATGTGTTTGTTTCTTTAAAAAAAACTTTATAATTGCTTATATATTTGATCACAAGCTGGCTAATGCCTCTGTAATATTAGTTGAGGAAGCCCAGTTGTATTTGATATTCTGGTTTTTCCTTAATATCCTTGAATGATCCAGGAGCTCTCTGTATCTTTGAAAACTGAAGTTAGATATTTTCAGTCCAAAGAGAGTGTTTGCCTACTCTGTGTTTTGACTGTGTAATGTTTCACAAAATGCTTGTCTTCTGCATTGAACTGCCTAAATCCTCCTTCATTTTTTTCAAGTAAGCCTAGGCAGAAATGCTTTTTTGGCCTCACTGTGCCCTTTCCAATGCTGATCATAGCAGCAGCATCATGATTCAGCCATTGGTTCATTAATTCTTTTCCCCCCTGTTCCATTTATTACAGGAGTCTGATAAACATAACTTTCCAGAGATTGTTAGGATTCTTTTGAAGCCAAATGTTTGAGAGAACCACCCTTTCTACCTGGTTCTTTGTAAGAGAGAGTGAGCTTTGCAGTGATAGATAGGGTTCTCCTATTCCACTTCACCTCCTATTCCACTTCACCTTTCCTTGACTGATGGAATGAGGGAGATACCTGTTAGCACTGGATCATAATTTGATCACCCTTCTTTCTTGTCTTGGTGTGTTTCTTGTTCTAGATCAATAGAAATATTTCAGGTTCCCAACTTGAAACTGATCTGTACCATCCAGCAGCATCACAAACTTGTGAATGCCATTAGCTGGCATCACAAGCATGGCAGCCAGCCAGAGCTGAGCTATCTGATGGCGTCTGGGTCCAACAATGCAGTCATTTATGTGCACAACCTGAAGACTGTCATAGGTAAGTCTTACCTACAGTTTCTTACATACTGGAGGTGACAGCATGTGTTCAGCTACTTGGCATCCCAATCTTGGTACCTTTTTACTTTGTTTTTGGTATTAAAATAAATGTTCTTATCTTTTTCTGCTTTCAGAGTAATACATTTATCTGATTTAAAAATAAGACTAAATTTTTAAACATGACAAAAACATTAACTTAAAAAGTAAACTTACACCCATAATCCCATCCTTGGGTAATAAGCAGTGTTATTAGTTTGGTGAGCTTTTTCTCCAGATATTTCAAACTGCAGTCATTGCTAAGTAGCTCTCCAAAAAAACTGGGCCAGTTTATATCCTCTTCCCACAGTGCTCCAGTACCAGGCACTCTTACCCACTAAACAATATTGCCTGCTGAAAATCACATAGAAAAGCACACAGTGAACTTTGACTCAAACTTTGGTGTCTTTTTGTTGTTATTAGTAGAAATTATATCTTCCGCAAGTAAGGAGAGCATCTTACTATGCCGATAGACAGTGACTGCAATTGGGGGGGCGGGGAGGACTGGATGGTATGGGTGAATGGTGAAACCACAATGTAGTTCATATGAAACCTTCAGAAGGTTGTATATCAATGATATGTTAATTAAAGAAAAAAAGAAATGACATCTTCCCCCTGTGTTTTAGAGAGCAATCCTGAATCTCCAGTGACCATTACAGAGCCCTACCGGACCCTCTCAGGGCACACAGCCAAGATTACCAGTCTGGCATGGAGCCCACATCATGATGGAAGGCTGGTATCTGCTTCCTACGATGGAACAGCTCAGGTACTGTTCTCCATTCTGTGGGTTCTTCACTGTGTACTCCAACTTAAACTCTCTTCTTTTCCCCAGTTGTGTACGTTTTTCTTCCCTCACCATTACCTTCTACAGAAAGGGATGTTACTGAGCTCTAGAAGGCATTTTAGTATATTCCATATATCTGGGCCCTTGGCTGGCTAAAGCTGGGGCTTTTTTACTTAGATGAAAGGGAAAGTGTTGGTAGGAACTGGCTAAATCCTACTATTTGTTAAGATTTCATTCAACTTACTGTCAATATGATGGACAAAATTCAGTGAGAAGTGCTCTCTCCTGTTCAAACACAGACATAGTGGCTATATATCATGTAAATAATTTTTAATAAATTGCTAAGTCAGAAATCACCAGGTTCTAAGAAGTAAAGATAAGATACCAAGACAGAGCTTGTAGGTAGGAATTCTGGATATCAGAACCAAAGCAGACATTAGGAACTGGGAAGCTACCGTCTGATGTGGATGTTTGTTCAGTGTTGAGTTATAATTGAGCTCTGCACAAAGCTGACAGCCATGAAGGGCTGCCCTCTGTGAAACGGAGACTGGATTAATTGAAGAAGCAGCAAGGAAATTGATCATTTGTCCAAAGATTTGGGGACAGAGAATCACCTGTGAGAAATTAGAACCCTCAACATGCACACAAATGCAGGTGGGCTCTGAATTAAAATCCTCTTCAAGATATCAGAATCCCCACACCAAAAAGTAACATACAGTTGTGGTTCAGGACAGTAAAATCCACAGAGCAGCATAAGATGCTCGCTCAAAATCAACCCCATAGGAATGTCTACCTCCCAGAGCACATAAGCCTCCCGTAGGAAATAGCACTCTATGAAACTGAACTCCTGAAAAACTATTACTCATCACAAAAGGAAATAATTACACAAAAAAACTTCTTTAAAAACTTACACCCTCCAAAACAATAGAATAACCAGAAATTGTCTATGCTACTGTGTGACTTTTGGTTTCAGGTGTGGGATACTCTCAGGGAAGAACCTCTGTGCAATTTCCGAGGACACCGAGGTCGACTGCTTTGTGTAGCATGGTCCCCATTGGATCCAGACTGCATCTACTCAGGGGCAGATGACTTCTGTGTGTACAAATGGCTCATTTCCATGCAAGAACATTCCCGGCCTCCCCAAGGTTAGTCAGAACGTGGAGCCCATAAAGGCTTGTCCAACTCTTCCTCCCATTCTCAATAATTGAGTTGATCAGGATCAAGCAAGGAAGACATTGGTGCAGAGTGGCAGTGACAGCACTGCAGGGGTTTGGAGCCTAAGCAAGGAAGGCAGCCATGAGGGACCCAAGGACAACACCCAAATAGTAATGAGTATACCCAGCACCTAGATCTTGATATCTAAGTATCATTCCTCATTAAAAGGGACCAACCAGTTTCTTGGAGAATGGCTAATTCCAGGTTGAGAAAGGAATACATACAAGATGAGCCTATGTGTATATCGTGGAAGGAATTGCTCAAAAAAATGAGATACAACAAAGACAATTTGAACCTGAAATGATTAACAGAATTCCATTTCTGGCTATGAAAGATTAACTGGTACCAGACTTCTCCACCTGACACAGACAGCTAGAAAACCAGACAGAATATATTAGATAATTGGAAATATAGCCGCAGAAATGAAACACTACCCACATAAAGACTTGGGAAGGAATGCCCACAGTGGCTTTATCTATAATGGCGACTGACTGGAATCAACCCAAATGTCCATCAGCTGGTAAATAAATGGCTGTGTCCCTAAAGTGGAATTCTACTCAGCAATAAAAAGGAACCACTGTAAAAACAACAAAATGGGTGAATCTCAAAAAACATTTTGCTGAGCAAAAAAAAAAAAAAACCAGGCACAAAAGACTACATACTCTATAATTCTAATACATAGTGTGAAATAGAATTATATATAATATGAAATTCTAAAACAGGCAAAACTAAACTATAATAATAGCAGATAAGTGATTCGGCCTCGGGAAAGGGATGCATCTTACAACAAAGGCATGAGGGAACATTTTGACATGGAAATATTTTATATTTATGATGGTTGATTACATGACTATACATCTGTGAAAAACTCATCAAAGTATTAAAAAATGGGTATGTTTTAGTGTATTAAAACCTCAAAAGTAACTTTAAAAAAAGCAAAGGATAAAAACTTTAAAACAAAAAAAGTAAATAAGTGACAGTAAATATAAAATAAGAATCCATGAGTCCATACTAATAAAAATAAATGAATGTCTAAAGAAATGGAGAGAAGCAGAAGCTCTTCTCTATAGCAGAATGCTAATAAATTAGAATGAATGATGGAATTAGAAAACTGCCATTTGGCAATAATCAGAGTAACAATTTTTAGTCAAGAAACATCAATGAATACTAAAACTACTGGATGCAAATACTTAGTAATTACAAAGGAAAAACCATTTTTCAGGGAGAAACCTGCAAGACACCTCCTTAAGTGGTCAAAGTAAACAAATGAGACAAATAGAAATTATTTGCCATTTATAGATTGCACTGAGAGGAATACAGTATCACTTCTGTGTATTCCAGCTGAAAATGCATAACCTAAACCTAATGAAAACTCAGGTAGACCTAAACTGAGGGAAGTTCAACAAAATGACAGTCCTATAATCTTCAAAAGTTTCAAGTTATGAAGTCAGAAAACAGGCTTTCCAGGCTGAAGGAAACCAGAGAGACATAACAAGCAAGGCAGTGTGTCCTGGACTGAGTCTTTTTGCCAGAGAAGACATTCTTGGTGCAACGGCAGAACTTGAATGAAGCATGTGGAGTACACATTAATGTGTCGGTATTTACTTGCTGGTTTTAATGATTGTGCTGTGGTGATGTAAGAGAATGTCCCTGTTTGCAGGATACACACTAAAGTGTTTAGGGACAATTGGGCATTGTATTTATGCTTTAATGAAATCCCAAAAGGGCTCCATTTGGTTTGGTTAACATTTTGGTAATGTAACAATTCGGTACTTATAACTTCATTGGGAAAGAAGGGAAAGGTTAAGGATGCAATCAAAAAAATGAGTCACAGAATTTTGGAAATTTCCTTGAGTGCTTTTAACCAAGAATATACATTTTGGTCTATCCTTTTCTTAATTGTGATTCCTGTAGGCAAGAAAAGTATTGAATTAGAGAAAAAAAGACTCTCTCAACCCAAGCCAAAGCTCAAAAAGAAGAAAAGGCCCATCTCAAGAGTGCCTGTAAAGCAGGAATTGTATGGCGGAAATGAAGAAGAGAGCATAAGGGAGGGCTCAAGACCTGTTGAGAACGGTGTGTCAGACCAGGAGGGTGAGGAGGAAGCCCGGGAGCCAGAGGTGCCCTGTGGTGTCGTCCCATTGGGTATGTGGCCGAACCCTGAATCACCAACTCTAGGAATTCGTAGTCATCACCAGAAAACTAAGCCACATCCTTATTTTCCTTACTTCGTTTGAAATTTTCTGCCTCTAACCTATTTACTTGACAAACTCTAAAACTTAGGTTGTATCTTTGGTGCCCTTAGAAACTTATGTTCATCTTTTTAAAGGATTTTTTTTTTAAGGCTCCAGTCACCTTTGAAGTGTTAAAGGGGATCTAGCAGACTATTGGGATGGAAAAACGTTCTGTAGAGAAAACTTGTAAACAACTTGGGCAGGGTCAGACTATGGGACAAAGTGAAGCTAGGGTAGTGTATACACAGAAACATTGGGAATGTTTTCACAACATGACATCATCAGCCATGCTTATTTAAAGAAACCACTCTCTCATACAAATGTCTGATGGAAAAGCTACCACCACTCCAGGAACCTGCAAGTTCTCATCCTTTTACGTGGGTTTCTACCTGGGCTTTTTTTGGGGGGAGGGGCAGGGGTTCTCTCTGAAAATAATTTATGAATTACATTTTTCTGGTCTGTTAAGCTATACTGGCAGTTAACAGACTTCTCCCAAAACAGTTTTTCAGGGTTTCATCACTGATTTCTAATAATGCATTATATTTCTAATTTGAAGAGAAAAAACTCATTACTAGATAAGAATTTACAGCTTTAATTCCTTTCTACATTTACCTTAAAGCTGTGGTGCCTGTTACCTTTAAAATGCACTATTAAATAGCAAACAATATAAATAGAAGCCATGGTTCATGTTTAATTCTAAAACAGTATTTTGATGTGACAGAATTAAAATGGCCAAGATATATGATATAGAGGCATCTCTGACCCTCTCCATCCCAAGGGATGGCTATTAGACCATAATTTGGGTAAATAAAAAGCTAAAAGTTTAATGGATTTCTCTTAGGTTCATCAAAATACCTTTTAATCACAAAATGGCCACACAGAATGTCCTTTACCCTGTATTTCAACAGCTATCTTGTTTTACAGTTCACGGTTGTGTATGCTCAGGATTGTGACTCCGTATCACATACCCCTAATATTTTTTATTAGCAGAGTTGTTCTTTATTTGTTTAATTAAACATGCAGTTAGTAAACTTTGTCACCTAAATATGTAAGAAGTCTGAGCAAAATTTGGGAACTCCTGGGCCTGTGGTATAAAGTTGTGGAGGTGAGAAACTTTTAACTTCTTAGTCAGTCAAAGTTCTAAGTAATAAACTTACAGATTCCTGGAACACAGACTATTTGTGTTGTGAGGAAGAAGAAACTACCCATGCTTCCTTTCCAAACTATTTTAACTCTTATTTTGGTTAACAGATAAAATCCAATATTAATTTTTTAAAAAGAACTAGACTACATTGATCTTATTCACACTTATTTTCTTTTCCCCCATGATATAGTTGCTAACGAGCCAGTTATCTGCACTCCAGTTTCCTTAGGCTTGGAAAAGGCAAAAGCCACCGTTAATAACAAAGTCACTTTACTGAAAAAGGACCCACCTAAAGAGAAGACAGGTTGGTATCTAGTGATTAAAATGTTTTGTTAAAGCATCCTTGGATATTACATGCAACTAAAAACCCAATAGTGTATATTCTTTGTTTTTTTAGGGCTTAAATACTTGTTTTGATTATGTTTCAATTTTGGGTCATGCTCTTAAACATTTTTTTTAGCACTTGATGAAGTATCATTGTGTACTTGTTGATGCTGCTTCAACAGTGTTCACAAGGACATGTGTCTCTGTTGTGAACACCGCCTCCAGCTAATTTAGTTTGAAAGCTTCTTTACAAGGATAGGAACTTTATGCCCATCAGTATCACCTCCAGTAAGTTACATTCACCCAGTGGCATTCAGTTTTGTGTTTCTGACCAGCTCTTCCTCAGACAGTCTGTACTTTCATTACATTCCAGATACCTTAATCAAGAAGCGAAAAGCCCGCTCCATGCTTCCACTGAGTACAAGCCTGGACCACAGGTCTAAAGAGGAGCTTCATCAGGACTGTTTAGTATTAGCAACTGCAAAACACTCCAAAGGTACAAAAAAGAAACTCTCTTGGCCCATCCATAGTCTTCTGGGGGACTGGCATAGAAGAGGTGCTGGTTTACTCGTTGGTGAATGAGCAAACAAATGTCCAAAATTGTTTGTATTCTTACATTCTTTCCCAGCCTTCCCCTACCCAGCTGCCATGTTCCTCATTCTGACCCATTGTCAGCACTCCCCAGTGCCTTCAAGATACAGTGCTGTGCCTTTATTATTCTCAGTCAAGTGGTTACCAGCCACCTGTATGCTGGAATTGATATGACAGCCTACATATCTCAGCATGGTTAACTCTGTCAACTGTTTTTCCCCAAGAAACTATCTCATGTAGAAAAATATTATTTCTTATTGGAAATATACACATAGTATGGCAGCTCCTTTTTTAAAAATAATAAAAGTTTTTGTTTATAGGTTTTTTTTTGGTTTTAATTTTTCAAAACTTTCATCTAACACCTGTTATTTGATATGTGACCAACTGTATTTTTCTTAATTTTGAATTTTAAGTGTTAAGAAGGGATCCACATGATAAAATGAAATTCAAATAGTATTAAAAAATAGTAAATCTCCCTCCCACCCTGACACCCTCCCTTCCACTTCTCCCCCAAAGCCATAATATTATCAGTTTCTCCTCTCTCCAGAGATATTTTATGTTCTTATTATACGCATAGCCCTCTTTTTGGGACTGTGGGGTGAATTCCTCTAATTTATACAATTAACCATATAGTTTTAATTATTTCCCTTATTGGAAAACTACTCAACTCACTTTTAAAAACAGTGAATAATGGATGAATCCCTTATTCATGTGGTAGATGTGGTAGATCCTAGCTAACATTAGGACATTTCTTGTTAATTTTTTTGTTTTGTGTTTTTTGTTTTGTTTTTTTACTGCATTTAAATGCATGTTGAATTTTGAGTTGGCTTTTTACATTCTTTTTTTGCCAAATCTTTAATTGAGCAAACTATAAACTAAATTGTGCTGTTGGATTTTGCCAAGACTAAACTCAACACACTTTTAAGTATTTTCCTATTTTGCTCCCTTTGTAACCAGCGGTGGTGTCTGTTAGAGTAAACAAGGGCACAGGGCTTTTTTTTTTCACTGTCTGAAATGGGGTTCTGAACATACACTTGGAAGTAATTAGACAGAAAATGGTAATCTCTGTAATCACTTCATTTGACTTTTTTTTTTTTTTTGGTCTGTTTGAATTAGCAGAGCTAAAGGAGGATGTGTCTGCTGATCTTGAGGAAAGATTTCATCTGGGGCTTTTCACAGACAGGGCTGCCCTGTACAGAATGATTGAGGTTGAAGGTGAGGCAAGTCCATTCAACATAATCCCTTCTGTCTTTGTGCTTCCCTAATATTTTGTACAAAGCTCTTTTATGGCTGCCATCATGGGGCATCATAATGGTTAATTTTATGTGTCAGCTAAGCAGGTTTTACGCTCTCCATTTGCATATTGGCATACACCCACTGGGTCTGTCATAGGACCCTAAACATAACCATGTTCACTGAGTACACCTGAAAGCAAGTGGCTGGATACATGCCCAAGTGGGCTTCAAGCCCTACTATGAACACTGGGTGGTGATTTATCCATCAGCCAGGGACTACACAACCTAGGAGTTTGTTCCTCTCTTTCATCCTGCCTTTTTTTTTCTAGAAGTCAGGCAAACAGATGTTTCTGAAACATCTTTGAAACATTATCTCTTCTCCAAACAGGAAAAGGTCACTTGGAAAATGGCCACCCTGACTTATTTCACCAGCTCATGCTTTGGAAAGGAGATCTAAAAGGTGTTCTCCAGACTGCAGCAGAAAGAGGGGAGCTAACAGACAATCTTGTGGCTATGGCACCAGTTGGTATGTTCTTATCAACAAAAGCTCTGTCATCTCAAGGATATATCCACTAAAGGTGGCCACTGTCTTATTAAAGGACAATTTGGCCATGTCTACTACAATTTAAAATGTATATACCTTTTGACTCAGCAATTCTAATTATAGGAATTTAACTGCACTTACACATACACAGTGACAAAAATACATATACTTTCATTGCAGCAGTATTTGTAATAGCAAAAGATCAGATCTTTGCCCAATAGCTCTTTGCCCATCAGTTAAAAGACTGGTAAATCTTACACATCTATACAGTAGAAATTCCTACAGATAAAAGAATTGGGCAGCTCTGTGCATTCTGACAGGAATGCAGCTCCAGAGTGTAGTAAGTAAAAAGAATCAGGGTGTAGATGCACAACAGAATATTTACTACTCTGTTATTTATATTTATACAATGTAGTTGTGTATTCATAGATTATTTCAAAAAGGTTTCAAAAGAAACTAGTAATAATGGTTGGCTCCAGGGACAGAAATTTGGATGAGTTTGGATGGGAGGGTGCCGGGATAACAAAGAAACCTTTTATGCCATGCCCAGTGTCTTAGCTTTTAATTCAAGCATGCTTATAGAGAGAGTAGTATAAAGGTCATGAGTGTACAATGAATTTCATAAACTGAATACTGTAAACAGGCATCCATATCAAGAAATATAACATTACTAGCACCTGGAAGCTTCTCTCATGCACTCTTTCATTCAGTCTTCACACATCCCAACAACAGTAATTACTGTCCTGACTTATATATTCCTTTGTACCTTTTGAATTGTGTACTATTTTTTATGTATTACATGATCAAAGAAATAATTTACATTTCAAAATGTGGGTAAAAGGGAAGTAGATGTAGATTATCTATAATGGCAATTGGATTAGTAACTAAATGTTCTGCTTAATGTAATGACTAAAACAAGGCATTTCCACCCAAATGTATGTGCTTTTTTTCCTTAAATCTGCTTTTATTCAACCACCATCCTTCTTTTCTGTTTTTTTTTTTTTTAAGCTGGCTACCATGTATGGCTGTGGGCTGTGGAAGCTTTTGCCAAACAGCTGTGTTTTCAAGATCAGTATGTCAAGGCTGCCTCTCACCTACTTTCTATCCACAAAATATATGAAGCTGTGGAGCTGCTCAAGTCAAACAATTTCTATAGGTCTGTATGCCCCTATACAGTAGTTGGAGATAATATGAAATTAATCTGCTTAACAGCTCTCCTTCTGATAACCAGCATAAAAACTTTATTGTAACTAAATATCTCAAGTATACAGAAATATATGTATACTAGGCTTAACAAACATCAGGGCACCTACCATCTATTCTTAATAAAACTTGTCTTATCAGTTTTTGCCACTTACCTTTTTTAAAAGCTCTTTACAATAAGTTAAAGTGATTCAAGTAACAAATAGAGAAAACATAAGACAAAAGAGACAGTATCTGATGGCCACCCCAAAAGCTCTCTATGTGCCCCCAGTTGTTTTTGTTTAACATTCCAGTTAGTTGAATTGCCTTTCTACAAGTCTGTCTTCATCCCTCCTGTAGAAGTAACCACTCTCCTGAAATTGGTATGAACCTTTCCTTTCCAAGTTTTTCTTCCACTACAATACATACTTAAGTACTTATGTATGTATGTATGGTAGACAGCTTACAATTAGTTCTGTTTTTTAATCCAGTCTAATAGTCTCTGCCTTTTAATTGGAATGTTAGACCATTTACATTTAATATAAATGTTAGTATGATTATTTTAAATCTACCATCTTCGTATTGTCCCATCTGTTATTTCTTTACTTCTTTTCTTGCTTTAATTTTGGTGAACTGAATTTTTATATCTCCAATACTGGCTTATTAGCTACACTCCTTTATTTTTTTGTTTTTGTTTTTTTATGTAACTTTAGAGTTTACAGTGAGCATTTATAGTTTTATCACAGTTTACCTCAAATTATGTACCACTTCTTGAATACAATATGTTTCTTTCCTTTCTCCTAGCCTTTCTGCTGTTGTTTTAATACATGTTTGACATGTTTAACCCCTTATTATACCATTAGAATTTTTACTTTAAACACTTGTTTTAAATTTTTATCCTAAATAATTTTAAGATATTTTTCTATTTGCCCTCCTACTTATATTTCTAGCACTTTTCATTCTTTTATGTAGATCCAAGTACTTCAATTTTTTTTGTTATGTGGTTTTGCTGGTGACAAATTCCATCAACTTTTAGAGACAAAGCTCTTTAATTTTGCCTCCATATTAAAGGATCTTTCACTGGATGTAGAAATCTGGATTGGCAGTTTTTGTCATTCAGCACTTCAGAAATGTCATTCTGTGTTCTCTTGGTTTGCATTGTGTTTGACTTGACTGCTGCATTTGTTCTTATCTTTGTTACATAGGAACTGTCTTTTTTCTCTTGACTATTTTTAGGACTTTCTCCATCACTGGTTTTCAATCATTTTATATGATGACTTTGGTGAGACTTTTTGTTTATCCTGTTTAGTTTGTCTTCCTTTAGCAAATGTTGGACTCTGTTTTGACAAGCAGTTAATGTTGCTTGTGGATCAGCTTGATCATTTCATAGCTTGTTTTTAAGCTTTCTTAGGGCAGGTTTAGAGAAATCCATACTCTCTAGTTAGTTTGCCCCTCCCATCTTCTGGTGTCTTTACTAAATGCCTTGTGTATCAACAAATCAGAACTCAGTATTTGACTGGTCAAAACTCAACAGTCCCCAAGCCCTGAGTGAGCTCTAGGAATTTGTTCAGCCTGTAGTTCCCTGATTTCTTCATCCAACCTTAAGGAGTTCTTCACACATGCATGGCAACATATTAGCAAAGACTCAGTGGGCTCCCAAAGCAGAGTTCTGGAGTTCTTTCTCTGGACAGTTTCTTCCTTCCTGCCATCCTGCCCTGAAATTCCAATTCCTCCTTCTGTCAGCTCAGACTGCTGAGGCTCTCCTTGGGTTACCTATAGGAAAATGACTTTAGGAGGGCCCTGATAGGGCTCACATCATTGGTTCCCTCGTCTTTGGGGTGACAGTCCTACACTGCCTGGTGTCTAGTGTCTGAAGAGTATTGCTTCCTTTGTATTTTGTCCAGTTTTTTAGTTTTCTTGCAAGAGGGTAAGTCTGCTCACCATTACTCCCATCGTGGCTAGAAATTGGGGTCTCAAAATACTTCTTAAATATTGCTCTGTCTAGATCATGTTAATCTCAAATGCTTTTATTCCAGCAACAACATTATGATGGCTGCAACTCAGAAATTCTATGTCATTTGGAAAATATTATTTCAGGGATATGCAGATCTTCCAAAATATTAACACATTTCATTATAAAATATCAAAAAAAAATTACATTCCTCAATACCACCATCAATCTCATGAGAAATGTCTTTTAACTTTTGGGAAGCTGTCAAGCCTGCAGTGAAAGACAAGTTTTCTAAAATTCTAATTTTCCCATGAAAGCTCAAATTATTGGCAACAGTACTTGTTGGTTTTCTGCAAAGTGGCAGGCTTTGTTCATTTTTCAGAAAACATCTGCCAAATACCCAGTGCTGAATAAGTGTCATTAGTCATTCTTTCAAAAAGTAATGAGTTTCCATGAAAAAAAAGCAGCTAATTCAGCCTGCAATTCTTTCATACAAGTTTTTCCTAGAACAACCATCATATTTTGGAATACAGCAAAGAACACAAAAAATGTTCTTCCTATTTTGTCATACAGGGTATTAAAAAGACATGGACTTGAGGAATTTGGTAAAATTAATTATTTTTACTGCTTCAACAAGGGCATTTACCCTTTTGTTTTTTTCTGACTACAAGAGCTACTACCTTGGTTTGTACACAGATGGCAAAAGTTTACTCACCATTGCTTTAAGTCAGTGCAAACATCAAAACAGTAAGAAAAGGCAAATAACCTCTTAGCATTATTATGAAAATAATTTCAACCTCATGAACCCCCTGAAAGGGCTTAGGGATCCCAGGGAATCCACAGACCACACTTTAAGAACTGATGACCTATGTGAAGAATTGAGCTCAGCATGTAGTTTTAACTTCCCATGTAACACAAATATAGTTTTTTATGGGAAGCTGGAACAATATAAATGGCACAAAAAGGATAGTTTCTGTCTTTCAGCCCTTTCCAGGGCCTCTTAGAGAAAGGCCTTTTCAAATTAGCTAATAATCTGTTCTTGCCTCTAGGGAGGCTATCGCAATTGCCAAGGCCCGGCTTCGCCCAGAGGACCCCATCCTGAAAGACCTGTACCTCAGCTGGGGAGCGATCCTTGAAAAAGATGGCCATTATGCCCTGGCAGCCAAATGGTAAGCCTGAGAGGAACAGGAGTGTACCTACAGAGGAGCTATGACACAGAAGGGGAAGACAAGAATAAAGGGGATAAATTTACATGTGAAGGTAAAGTGACTAGGGAAAAAAGGCCTATGTGTATTAAACCCAGCTTCATAAGACTCACCATTGTCTACCTCCTTGGTATTTTTATAAATCACATAACTGTTGAAAAACCTTGGTAGGAGACTCAGAAATTACACCTTCTTCGAATGTCTTACACCATCAAATGAGGGAAATAGAGGGAATGACTCCTCTGCTTGGGTTTAGTTCAGCAAGTATTGAAATTCCTTTATGCCCCTATCCACATGATGTTGTCTCTTGTTCCCTGTGCTGTGATGTCCTCGGCCTTTACAGGAACAGCCAGGGGCAGTGACACACTTGGTACCACAGGAAGAAACGAGGCGAAGTAGAAGTGATTTGACCCTCTGGGGAGTGCGAGTAGGAGGTCTGTTTATGACACTTTTGGGTTTTCTTTGTATTACAGCTACTTAGGGGCCACGTCCGCTTATGATGCAGCCAAAGTTTTGGCCAAAAAGGGGGACGCAACATCACTTAGGACAGCTGCAGAGTTGGCTCTAATTGTAGGAGAGAACGACTTGTCTGCTTCCCTGGCTTTCAGATGTGCCCAAGAACTGCTTCTAGTCAGGAACTGGGTAGGAGCCCAGGATGCCCTGCAGCTCCACGAAAGTCTAAAGGTCAGCCTGTTATTGCATCTCCTGCTTTTTAAGAGGGAAGGACCCCAAATCCTTTTCTAGTCAAATTCCAAGTGAATAACCCAGTTGCACAAGCTGTACCAATTTTGCAATTATTGTTAGAAATATCCAGCAAGCACCAGCCCAGGCCATACTGCCTCACTAAAGTACTGTGGCTTGTCAGTTGCTGTATGCAGAGTAAAATAATGTGGTCACTCAGTAATTCTCGCTGTTTATCAATTTGTGTACAACATCTGTGAACAGATGGTAGTCAGTGCAACCCCCAGGCTGGCAATCTACTTTTTTCATTGTTACCATCAGCATGGGCTTAGAAACCCTGGTGCTCTACCTGTAGCACCCCCTCTTCAGCTGTAAGCTGTAACTATGTGTGGTGAAATCAGCATTTTGTTACGTGTTTATTTCCCATCTGGTTAAAAATGAGAGACTTACCACTGCCTTTTTGACACATCAAAATTGAGATTACAGTTGACCCTTAAAAACACAGGCGTTAGGGGTGCCAACCCACACACAGTTGAAAATCCATGTATAAATATTGACTCCAAAAAAAGTAAACTACTAATAGCCAGCTGGCCTGCTGTTGACTGGAAGCCTTACTGATAACATAAACAGACTATTAACATATATTTTGTATATGTATTATATACAGAATTCTTACAGAAAAGTGAGCTAGACAAAAGAAAATGTTCTTTTCAAAGTGCTGCAATCTATAAAAAGTTTTCCAATACATTGAAAAAAACTTGCATGTTAAGCGGACCTGCACAGTTCAAACCCATTTTTGTAGGGTCAGCTGTACTTAAATTTTTTTTTTTTTAATTGCAGTCACTGTCCATCAGCATAGTAAGATGCTATAGAGTCATTACTTGTCTTCTCTGTGCTACACTGCCTTCCCATGACCCCCCTACATTATATGTACTGATCATAATACTCCTTAATCCCCTTCTCCTTCCCTCCATTCCCACCCTCCCAACCCCTTGCCTTTGGTAACTGCTAGTCCCTTCTTGGATCTGTGAGTCTACTGGTGTTTCATTCCTTCAGTTTTGCTTTCTTGTTATACTCCACAAATGACTGAAATCATTTGGTACTTGTCTTTTGGCTTATTTCACTGAGCATAATACCCTCCAGCTCCATCCATGTTGTTGCAAATGGTGGGATTTGTTTTCTTCTTATGACTGAATAATATTCCATTGTGTATATGTACCACATCTTCTTTACCCATTCATCTACTGATGGACACTTAGGTTGCTTCTGTATCTTGGCTATTATAAATAGTGCATATGTCTTTTTGAATCAGGGATCTTGTTTTCTTTGGATAAGTTCCTAGGAGTGGAATTTCTAGATCAAATGGTATTTCTATTTTTGGTTTTTTGAGGAATCTCCATACTGCTTTCCACAGTGGTTACACCAATTTACATTCCCACCAATAATGTAGGATGGTTCCCCTTTCTTCACATCCTCACCAGCATTTGTTGTTCCTTGTCTTTTTGATATTGGCCATCCTAACTGATGTGAGGTGATACCTCAGTGTGGTTTTAATTTGCATTTCCCTGATAATTAGCAGTGTGGAGCATCTTTTCATGTGCCTGTTGGCCATCTGAATTTCTTCTTTAGAGAAGTGACTATTCGTATCATGTGCCTATTTTTTAATTGGGTTATTTGCTTTTCGGGTGTTGAGGCATATGAGCTCTTTATATATTTTGGATGTTAACCCCTTACATTTGGGGTCATATGTATAGGTCTGATCTATACATGTGTATATTCTCCCATACTGTAGGATGCCTTTTGGTTGTACTGATGGTGTCCTTTGCTGTACAGAAGCTTTTTAGCATACTGATCTATAGGTCTGTTCTTGTGCCAGTACCAAATTGTTTTGATTGCTATGGCTTTGTAGTAGAGCTTGAAATTGGGGAGCATAATTCCCCTAGCTTTATTCTTTCTCCGCAGGATTGCTTTGGCTGTTGAGGGTCTTATGTGGTCCCATATGAATTTTAGAACTATTTGTTCTAGTTCATTGAAGAATGCTGTTGGTATTTTAATAGGGATTGCATTGAATCTGTATATTGCTTTAGACAGGATGGCTTGACAATTCTTCCTATCCATGAGCATAGGATGTATTTCCATTTATTGGTGTCTTCTATAATTTCTCTTAGGAGTGTCTTATAGATTTCAGAGTATAGGTCTTTCACCTCCTTGGTTAGATTTATTCCTAGGTATTTTATTCTTTTTGATACAATTGTAAATGGAATTGTTTTCCTGATTTCTCTTTCTGCTAGTTCATCGTTAGTATATAGGAATGCAACCTATTTCTGTGTATTACTTTTGTATCCTGCAACTTTGCTGAATTCAGATATTAGATCTAGTACTTGTGGAGTGGATTCTTTTGGTTTTTTATGTACAACATCATGTCATCTGCAAACAGTGACAATTTGACTTCTTCCTTAACCAATCTGGATGCCTTTTATTTCTTTGTGTTGTCTGATTGCCGTGGCGAGGACCTCCAGTACTATGTTGAATATAAATATAAGTAGGGAGAGTGGGCATCTCCTTGTCTTGTTTCCACACTTAGAGTGAAAGCTTTCAGCTTTTCAGGTCAGCTGTACTTTAAAAGCATCAGCATTCTCACTTAGTTCCTAAAACACATAAATACTTGGTCCATTTTAGACAACTTTGCTGGTGGGATACTAACATTAAGTTTTAAGTTCCTCTTTCCCTAGTAGATTAACTGTGCCTAAAGACAGTTTCCAGCTAAATATTCAAAGCCCAAGAAAATCCTAGGTGAGGAGGCAGTGTTATTAGGACTGCAAGATAAAAATGGAAGCAAAAATAGGACACTCTCAAAGACAGTGTCACTTGGTGTATTATTTGTAAAATGACTAAATCTAGAGAGGTTTTCATTTTTCCAACCAGAAAATAGTTTCCAGAATGGTTATTTAACATTTCTTTTTTTCTCTGAACCAACATCCTTATCAAAGCAAGAAAAACTATAAGTTTATGCTAACTGTTGTTCTGATAAGTATCAGGCCATTTTGCCTGTATGGAACAGAGACCATCCCAGGCTTAACTGAGAAAATACTATCATAGGGGTACATAGGAATCTCATGGCAACTAAATACCCAGCAAAAATTAAGATTTCTTCCAGGCCTCTTCTCTGTGCTTCTGTTCTCTTCTCTTTAGCTAACTCCCTCTGTTAAACCTTGGACATGGCCCTGAACTCCTGTCCCAGATCTCAGATCTACACAGCTTGTCTGCTCCAGCATCTTCTACCCATTATGCTTTACTTCCATATTCCTTAATCAGAAGTTTGGGCAGGAGGCAAGAACTGGATGAGCCCAGCCCATCTTTTCTCATACTGGGCACACACAAGTCTTAGGTGGCTGGCCTGGATGTGGCTTAAATTGTAGTGCAAAGGGCTGTAGTTGGGTTCTGTGTCACAAGGTGGTTGTTTGGGCTCCAAGCTATGGGTGGGAATTCCTTGACATCTGGAAAAACAGTTATTACTCACCTCTTTTCCCCCTCACACAGGACTCACATTGGGTAGAGGCAGCCCACCAAGGGGGTTTGGTTGCTGCAAATGCAAAGGGGAACACTGACAAACTGGGAAAAGCTCTCAGAATAATCAAGCACTTTCCCTAGTAATAGTTCCTCTCTTCTGTTGTTGGGTTCCAGGGTCAGAGATTGGTGTTTTGCCTTCTGGAGCTGCTGACCAAGCATCTGGAGGAAAGGCAGCTTTCAGAGGGCAAAAGCTCCTCTTATAACACGTGGACTGCAGGTGCCAAAGGGCCCTTTGTGGAGAGGGTGACTGCCGTATGGAAGAGTGCCTTCAGCCTGGAGACCCCAGAGCAGTATCAGGCAGCATGCCAGCAGCTGCAAAAAATCAAGTACCCATCTGCTACAAGTAACACTCCCTCCAAACAGGTGCTCTGTCTGCCCCAGCTTTTAGTTTTAAGCACTCTAGTAAGGGCCTCTTAGTCCATGTCTAGTGTAATAAGGAAACAAGCAGAATGTCAGTTTGAATTTCAGGAAAGATTAAAGCAGGTTCAGGCAACCTGGAAAACTCCCTTTCACACTAATTAAAAGCCTTTAGCTTTTAAGTTAGTCTTAGCTCAGCATTCCCTTTTAAAGGGAAGAAAGTCTAAAAATACAGAAAAGCACAGAGAATAATATAAGTGCCCATCAACCAGAATTAACATTTTATCATATTGCTTTATAGTTTTGTGGGTTTTATATTCTTTTGGGGTTTTTTTGGTAAAGGAAATACAGTCACATTGAAGTCTCTGGTGTTCCCTTCCTCAGTCCCATTCCCTTTCCCAGCCCCTGTGTCAAACCATATGTATTATTTTGTATCTTGCTTATTTTAGTGACCATTGTAAAATCTATCCACATTGATGCAGAGATCAAGTTGACTGATTATAACCACTATACTCATCCTATGAATATACCTCAGTTTATCTACTTTTTCTTTTGAAAATGGGGGAGCAATATCTTATTTTTGAGGCACGAGACTTCCTTAAATGGTATATACACTTCAGAAAAGTTTAGCAGTTTCTTATAAAGTTAAAACATTCACATGCCCAGTGATCCAGTAGTTCCACTCCCTAAATATTTCACTAAAGAAAAGAGTCATATAATGATGTTCCTAGCATCTTAGTTAACAAAAGCTGAAAACTATAAACAACCCAGATGTCCACCTATACACAAACTGTGGCTTATCCACACAGTGGGGCACTCTACTATGCAACAATAAAAAGCAACAGACAACTAAGACCCAGGTAATGCCACTGACTCTTGAAAGCATTAGGATAAGCAAAAGAACCAAGACATAGAAGACTACGTGCTCTACAGTTCTGTTGATATGAATTCTAAAAAAGACATTATAGTGGCTAAAGCCAGATCAGTGGTTGCCAGCGGGTGGAGAGAGGGAAGTGACTGTAAAGCGGCACATGGGAATATAGTTCATGATGAAAATGTTCTGTCTTGATTTTGGTGGTAGTTATAGCATATGTATCTATGTAGATAAATAAATGTATCAAAGCACATCAAATAGTTTGCTTAAAATTGCTAAATTTCTTAGTTATACTCCAGGGTGCTTTTTTGTTTTTTAATTACAGCTTTTAGTCCCAGAAACTCACCTTTTAAATACAAATGTCAAGGCATTTTCTTAGCATGAGCAGACTTTAACACCAGACAAGTTTATGTTACTGTGAAACTAGATCAGAGTTTCAGAGAGGGAAGCAAATATGGGTGATGGAGATAGGCTGGCCTTTCGTAAATGTGGACTATATACACTTCTTTCCAAATGCAGCTAATAATGGTATCATGCCAGTGCTTGCTGAGAGGTTTAACAGAAATTCTGGTTCCTTCCTCCAGCTCCTGCTTCACATTTGTCATGACCTGACATTGGCGGTGCTGGGCCAGCTGGTGGCCTCCTGGGACATGGCTGTGGAAGCACTGCTTCGGGCTGTGGTCCGGAGCTATGACGCAGGAAACTTCACCATCATGCAGGAAGTGTACTCAGCCTTTCTTCCTGAGGGTAAATGACCCCCACCTCTGCTGAGGCATGCCTATTAATGGATAAGAAAAACACCACCAGTGTGTGGCACCAGGAGTGCATCAGTTATTGAAACACAGAGAAAGTTTGAATTCTCTTACCCAAGCTCCTGAGAAGTAGCCAGCATGACTGAGCTGTTTTCTTTCACCTAGCCCTTCCTTCCTTACTGCCTTCTGTAAGCTTTCTGTAAGTTTCAGAGAGAAATAGCAATGTGCTCACAAGGTAGTAAGAATTCAAAAGCACAGCAGAAGACATTGCTTGAGCTGCAGTAGTCACTAAACTAGATATGATTTTTCAGAGACACAGTGGAATCTTACCCCCAGAGCCTTCAGGTGGACAGATGGAATACTTTTTCTGTCATGCTCTGAATGACTCATAACCTGTAGCAACAAGAACATTGTCCTAGGCCAGGAAATGTTTAGCCCTGGGTGGCTTTGGAGGAAGGCATGTGGTCCCTTGGATCACTCTCCCTCTTTTTCCTTGAGGTCCACCTCTTGGTGATAGGAAACAACATGCAGGCAGGAAATCAGATTAATAGCAAATAAAGAAATGCATAATTCTAAACCTCTTCTTCTTCTTCCAGGCTGTGACCACCTAAAAGACAAGCTGGGTGCCCAGTGCCCCACTATACCAGCTTTCAAAAGTTTGGAGGCCTTTTTTATTTATGGACATCTGTATGAATTCTGGTGGTCTCTCTCTAGGCCTTGCCCCAAATCCAGTGTCTGGGTAAAGGCTACTCACGGAAAGACGACCTCTATTGAGCAAAGCCAGCAGTTAGACAATGCCAGCCCTGAAGAAAATGACACCAAAGCTTCTCAGCCAGAGCCAAATAGGCCTGTAGAACTACACATGAGACTCACCGAAGAAAGTGAGCGAATACTGAATGCTTGTAAGGAGCTCTTTTCAGAAAAGCATGCTAGTCTCCAAAACTCACAGAGAACCGTTGCTGAAGTCCAAGAGACCTTGGCAGAAATGATCCACCAACACCAGAGGAGTCAACTGTGTAAATCCACAGCTAACAGTCCGGATAAGAATGAGCCTGAACAGGAAGCCGAACAGTCCCTCTCTAGTCCTCAGAGCCAGTGGTAAGTACTGAGTCAATACAAGATGGAATTTAAAATACCCTGTGGAATTCTCATGTGACCAGATAAAAATCAGTACATGATGATGCTGATTAAGTCACAGCAAGATAATCTAGTAATTAAGACACAAGCTTTGGAGTCAGATGTGGGGTTCTAATCCTGGCCCTGCTGAGTGACTTCAGGCAAGATTCTTAGTGTCTCTGAGCTTTAGCTCCCTCACTGATAAATGGAGGTACCAACTCCTACCTTGCTTTTTTGAGAACTAAACAGTATCACAAATATTGCTAATAACAATAGTACAATAAAATCCTACCTTTGAGGAGTAAGTTCCCCAAAAAAATCAGTCTTGTAAAATGAGAAGTTGTATTGCATCATTAATGAAAACCATTGTGTTAATTGTTCTGTACTAGCTCAAAATTACACAAGGACAGTGTACAAAACTGCACACTGAACTGAGAAAATACCACGTGATAGGAATCCTGTAGCATCCTAATCACTTCCATTGAAAATTGAGGCCAGGTGGATGGCAGAAACCAGTCACTAATCAGTGAGGGGCTCATCTGCATTATCACAAGATACTTTTCCAGGGGCACTTGCAGTGATTAGCAATTACTGATAGGTTATAATGCTGAGTGCCTTTTACCTTGACTAGGTCCCCCAGCAGAGGACTTAGCCGATAGTAACCAGTACATTAATAAACTTGTAGCTGTTAGTACTAACTTTAAAAAATTAAGAAGTTTTGAAGCCCTTATATTTACTGCTGTAAAAATACTTCAACTGAAATCCTGAGTCAGAGTTTTGAGTCACCTCTCCAATAAGCTATTACATTCTAGACAGCTTTAGGTTTGGTTTTACTAAAAAGAAAAACAATAGTGCTCTAACCAGTGGCTTTTAACCTTTGAATCACAGGACCCTTTTGAGCTTAAGACACTAGATTGGTGTTTTGCCTTCTGGAGCTGCTGACCAAGCATCTGGAGGAAAGGCAGCTTTCAGAGGGCAAAAGCTCCTCTTATAACACGTGGACTGCAGGTGCCAAAGGGCCCTTTGTGGAGAGGGTGACTGCCGTATGGAAGAGTGCCTTCAGCCTGGAGACCCCAGAGCAGTATCAGGCAGCATGCCAGCAGCTGCAAAAAATCAAGTACCCATCTGCTACAAGTAACACTCCCTCCAAACAGGTGCTCTGTCTGCCCCAGCTTTTAGTTTTAAGCACTCTAGTAAGGGCCTCTTAGTCCATGTCTAGTGTAATAAGGAAACAAGCAGAATGTCAGTTTGAATTTCAGGAAAGATTAAAGCAGGTTCAGGCAACCTGGAAAACTCCCTTTCACACTAATTAAAAGCCTTTAGCTTTTAAGTTAGTCTTAGCTCAGCATTCCCTTTTAAAGGGAAGAAAGTCTAAAAATACAGAAAAGCACAGAGAATAATATAAGTGCCCATCAACCAGAATTAACATTTTATCATATTGCTTTATAGTTTTGTGGGTTTTATATTCTTTTGGGGTTTTTTTGGTAAAGGAAATACAGTCACATTGAAGTCTCTGGTGTTCCCTTCCTCAGTCCCATTCCCTTTCCCAGCCCCTGTGTCAAACCATATGTATTATTTTGTATCTTGCTTATTTTAGTGACCATTGTAAAATCTATCCACATTGATGCAGAGATCAAGTTGACTGATTATAACCACTATACTCATCCTATGAATATACCTCAGTTTATCTACTTTTTCTTTTGAAAATGGGGGAGCAATATCTTATTTTTGAGGCACGAGACTTCCTTAAATGGTATATACACTTCAGAAAAGTTTAGCAGTTTCTTATAAAGTTAAAACATTCACATGCCCAGTGATCCAGTAGTTCCACTCCCTAAATATTTCACTAAAGAAAAGAGTCATATAATGATGTTCCTAGCATCTTAGTTAACAAAAGCTGAAAACTATAAACAACCCAGATGTCCACCTATACACAAACTGTGGCTTATCCACACAGTGGGGCACTCTACTATGCAACAATAAAAAGCAACAGACAACTAAGACCCAGGTAATGCCACTGACTCTTGAAAGCATTAGGATAAGCAAAAGAACCAAGACATAGAAGACTACGTGCTCTACAGTTCTGTTGATATGAATTCTAAAAAAGACATTATAGTGGCTAAAGCCAGATCAGTGGTTGCCAGCGGGTGGAGAGAGGGAAGTGACTGTAAAGCGGCACATGGGAATATAGTTCATGATGAAAATGTTCTGTCTTGATTTTGGTGGTAGTTATAGCATATGTATCTATGTAGATAAATAAATGTATCAAAGCACATCAAATAGTTTGCTTAAAATTGCTAAATTTCTTAGTTATACTCCAGGGTGCTTTTTTGTTTTTTAATTACAGCTTTTAGTCCCAGAAACTCACCTTTTAAATACAAATGTCAAGGCATTTTCTTAGCATGAGCAGACTTTAACACCAGACAAGTTTATGTTACTGTGAAACTAGATCAGAGTTTCAGAGAGGGAAGCAAATATGGGTGATGGAGATAGGCTGGCCTTTCGTAAATGTGGACTATATACACTTCTTTCCAAATGCAGCTAATAATGGTATCATGCCAGTGCTTGCTGAGAGGTTTAACAGAAATTCTGGTTCCTTCCTCCAGCTCCTGCTTCACATTTGTCATGACCTGACATTGGCGGTGCTGGGCCAGCTGGTGGCCTCCTGGGACATGGCTGTGGAAGCACTGCTTCGGGCTGTGGTCCGGAGCTATGACGCAGGAAACTTCACCATCATGCAGGAAGTGTACTCAGCCTTTCTTCCTGAGGGTAAATGACCCCCACCTCTGCTGAGGCATGCCTATTAATGGATAAGAAAAACACCACCAGTGTGTGGCACCAGGAGTGCATCAGTTATTGAAACACAGAGAAAGTTTGAATTCTCTTACCCAAGCTCCTGAGAAGTAGCCAGCATGACTGAGCTGTTTTCTTTCACCTAGCCCTTCCTTCCTTACTGCCTTCTGTAAGCTTTCTGTAAGTTTCAGAGAGAAATAGCAATGTGCTCACAAGGTAGTAAGAATTCAAAAGCACAGCAGAAGACATTGCTTGAGCTGCAGTAGTCACTAAACTAGATATGATTTTTCAGAGACACAGTGGAATCTTACCCCCAGAGCCTTCAGGTGGACAGATGGAATACTTTTTCTGTCATGCTCTGAATGACTCATAACCTGTAGCAACAAGAACATTGTCCTAGGCCAGGAAATGTTTAGCCCTGGGTGGCTTTGGAGGAAGGCATGTGGTCCCTTGGATCACTCTCCCTCTTTTTCCTTGAGGTCCACCTCTTGGTGATAGGAAACAACATGCAGGCAGGAAATCAGATTAATAGCAAATAAAGAAATGCATAATTCTAAACCTCTTCTTCTTCTTCCAGGCTGTGACCACCTAAAAGACAAGCTGGGTGCCCAGTGCCCCACTATACCAGCTTTCAAAAGTTTGGAGGCCTTTTTTATTTATGGACATCTGTATGAATTCTGGTGGTCTCTCTCTAGGCCTTGCCCCAAATCCAGTGTCTGGGTAAAGGCTACTCACGGAAAGACGACCTCTATTGAGCAAAGCCAGCAGTTAGACAATGCCAGCCCTGAAGAAAATGACACCAAAGCTTCTCAGCCAGAGCCAAATAGGCCTGTAGAACTACACATGAGACTCACCGAAGAAAGTGAGCGAATACTGAATGCTTGTAAGGAGCTCTTTTCAGAAAAGCATGCTAGTCTCCAAAACTCACAGAGAACCGTTGCTGAAGTCCAAGAGACCTTGGCAGAAATGATCCACCAACACCAGAGGAGTCAACTGTGTAAATCCACAGCTAACAGTCCGGATAAGAATGAGCCTGAACAGGAAGCCGAACAGTCCCTCTCTAGTCCTCAGAGCCAGTGGTAAGTACTGAGTCAATACAAGATGGAATTTAAAATACCCTGTGGAATTCTCATGTGACCAGATAAAAATCAGTACATGATGATGCTGATTAAGTCACAGCAAGATAATCTAGTAATTAAGACACAAGCTTTGGAGTCAGATGTGGGGTTCTAATCCTGGCCCTGCTGAGTGACTTCAGGCAAGATTCTTAGTGTCTCTGAGCTTTAGCTCCCTCACTGATAAATGGAGGTACCAACTCCTACCTTGCTTTTTTGAGAACTAAACAGTATCACAAATATTGCTAATAACAATAGTACAATAAAATCCTACCTTTGAGGAGTAAGTTCCCCAAAAAAATCAGTCTTGTAAAATGAGAAGTTGTATTGCATCATTAATGAAAACCATTGTGTTAATTGTTCTGTACTAGCTCAAAATTACACAAGGACAGTGTACAAAACTGCACACTGAACTGAGAAAATACCACGTGATAGGAATCCTGTAGCATCCTAATCACTTCCATTGAAAATTGAGGCCAGGTGGATGGCAGAAACCAGTCACTAATCAGTGAGGGGCTCATCTGCATTATCACAAGATACTTTTCCAGGGGCACTTGCAGTGATTAGCAATTACTGATAGGTTATAATGCTGAGTGCCTTTTACCTTGACTAGGTCCCCCAGCAGAGGACTTAGCCGATAGTAACCAGTACATTAATAAACTTGTAGCTGTTAGTACTAACTTTAAAAAATTAAGAAGTTTTGAAGCCCTTATATTTACTGCTGTAAAAATACTTCAACTGAAATCCTGAGTCAGAGTTTTGAGTCACCTCTCCAATAAGCTATTACATTCTAGACAGCTTTAGGTTTGGTTTTACTAAAAAGAAAAACAATAGTGCTCTAACCAGTGGCTTTTAACCTTTGAATCACAGGACCCTTTTGAGCTTAAGACACTCTTCCCAGAAAAATGTGCACCTATACACATACAGAGCCCCAGCTCTAACTATCCCCCAAAGGAAGTCTAGGCTCTCTGCCCTTGGCTCCAGACTGAATCCCCTAAAGGTCCTAAATTCTTATTAAAGCTGTGTGTCTAAGAAGTAGGGGTTTTAGAAAATGGTGAGGAATAATAATGCATTTTAGAAACTTTGTATTACCACATCACATTAAATTCCCTTCTCTTGATCTATTTAAAGCTGAGATAAAAACCCAGGTAACTAAGGAATTTTTAATAGGTTAATAGACTTAAAAGTTACACAGGACAAGACATACTTCTACTTTTTTATTATTAATTTATTATTTTATTATTACTAGCAAAGAAGAGAAAAATGAGACAGTGTCTCTGCCTGAATTAACCAAAAGGCTTACAGAGGCGAATGAGAGAATAGCTAAGTTTCCTGAGAGTATTAAGGTAAGAATTTTAGCAGTTCATTTAGTAAAATTCTAAAATTACTATTCTTTAAGGTCATCTACTCTGTTCAGTCTCTGAAATCTCTACACATTTATGTGTGCTTAAAATTTTAGGATCCATATGTCTTTGGTTGGCTAAAATATTTTGTGAAAATAGATAACACAAGTAATTTTATACCTTAGTCTGAAGATAAATCTAACATTTTATAATTGGGAAGTAAAATTAAAATTGGTATCATGTATAATGATAGTTAGGTGTATTTGGATGTGACCCTGGTAGTAACAGAAGCATCATGTTTTGAATTAATCTGAGTAGGGCTATAGAAAAAGATTCTATCATTTGAGGACATCCCAGCACCCATCCCAGTTTTGAGTATCATCTCTCCTTAAAGTAAACTGATGAAGAACCTTCTAAGGGAAATGGCTCAACATGCCAGAGAAGTATCAGTAGATGAGGCGTTGAGTTACTGATGCCTTCTGTACAGGTATTCATGGCTCTTTTGCAAATGCTTCCTTGTTCATTCCTGTGTCATCTTTCAGAACTGGCCCTTCCCAGATGTGTTGGAATGCTGCCTCGTTCTGTTCCACATCAGGTCCCAGCATCCTGGCTTCATGACCCAGGAGATGCAGCAACAGGCCCAAGAGCTTCTTCAGAAATACAGCAACACAAAAGTTTACAGAAGACACTTCCAGACCTTCTTCACATGAACTTCAAAGGGCCTTGAAGAAATTATGCCAAATTCAAAACGTTTGACACCTTTCACTTCTGCAGTTACACCTCACCAGATAATTTTTGATCCCAAGATATCTTTGCAGTAATACAAATGAGGGTCAAGTTTGAATCAGCTCCACCCTTAAACACAATGGAATCTGACTTTGGACTCAGTTTTCCTACTAGAGGAAAGATCGTGAAAAACCAGCAGTAGTTATTTAGAACAAATACCTGCAGAGTGATTGTTGGTCCATCTCTAAAGCCTTACACAGGTTTCACCCAAAGAGGAGAAACTGTTAATCACCCAAAGTATTATGTTCTTAAACACAAGCTACCTTTATAAATGCTTCATCTGATCATTAATGTGTCATTTTTGTTCAAAATAGAACTGCTGCATTTTCTATTGGTATCATTTTTTAAATTCTGTGTTAACTAGGGCTCTCCCCTTCTAGTCTTTCAAAGACTTAAGTTTGTGAAATAGGCCTTACCCGTCATGTTGACTCTACCGTCTGGTCAAAAATCTGGTTTTATTGTTTCATGTAATTGCTTATTTGAACAAGTTACTTACTAAAGCTTTAGAAGAACAACTAACTCAAATGTGTCTTATCTCTTCAGTATTAGAAGAAATTATTGTGATCAGATAGCTCAGAAATAAATCACTATTTCAGTGGTTCTTGATCTTGGATCACAGGGCCCTTTGAGAATCACATTACAACCACAGATGATCTTTGAAGAAAAAGACATATTCCTAATTTTGCATATGTAATTTCTGGATCAGTGGACTCCCAACTTTTAACATGATGGGACCCTACATACTGTTTAATTATAAATCCTTGTTGTTTTTGTTTTCATTAATGAGCATTCTCTTGAGGTCTGTTCTCTTTGAACAATGTCAAAAACAGATGTTTTTGTAATATCCCAGATGCTAGGACATAAAAATCAGACAGTCTGTGGTGGGATTGGAAGGGAGCACTCTTCCCCAATAACTGTTTTCTTATTGTGAAGGCTTTTGTGCTTGTGTCCTGTGTATTTTTAAGCTACTTCCTAGGGTTGGGGTGGTTGTGGGCAACAATGAAGTTCATTGACAGGAACTATCTCTAGGAAGGAAAATGTTTTAAGAGGCAATTTTCAAAACACTCTAACTGGAGTTTTTTGTTTTATTTTGTTTATACCTAGCTTTAGGACCTAAAAATCTTAGCTCAAAAAAGCACTTATTGTAGAATTTAGGTCCTCATAATTTACAGTCAGTTAAGTGAACTTCAGTAAGATACACTGTTCCTACGGATTGGAGAATTTTCTTGGTTGCAAAGCTAGAAATAGGTATGGCTAAGTGGAGAACTAGATACTAGTTGTACAGTCTTTGCTAAAATGAACAAATGCTTCCCTGCAGAGATGGAAAAATATTTATTCCCTTCACTTGAGTGCAGAGCAGTATTATTAAACTAGAAATTCTGAACTCCTGTGTGATCTACTGAAACCATCACCTGTGGGTGGAGGAATCCTGCAAACTCAGTTACTGCTTTCATCAGAACAAGAATTACTACTTGACAACTAAGAAAACTACCCAACAGCAGAAGATAACAGAAATGACATGACCCCATTTCTTCTCAAACTCCTGTCCTCTTTCCAATACTAAATATACTGAAGCTGTTCTAATCTGAATAAATGGTTTTCATTTCTGCCTCCGCCGCTAATTATCAGAACCACAAAAGAGCCAAAGCACTGAGAAGCTAACTCAAGTTTTCTGAATGGATAACATATCACTAAGCAACTAAAGAATTTATTTTGATCCTTTACCCTGCCAAAGTAACTTGGCCTCTAATAGTTAACTAGCTCTAGTACAAACCAGGTATTGGCCCCCATTGTCTCAATCCGCACTTTCTTAGTACTGATCAACAGAAGTTTAAATCAACTAATTAACAAGCTAATCCACTGTATATGACGGAGTGGCCCCAGGAAATAGAAGTAAATCCGGTTTCCTAGTAAGGCCCAACAATCAATGGTGAGTTATTACAAAGTGTAGGGGCAATTCCACTTTCACTGTTGCGCATTAAAAGATTACTACAAAGTGAGAGGTTCTCTATGCAAGCCAACTAGCAAAAAATCGAGACGAGTTTGGGGATAGACAAGATGCTTCATGTCACTAATGGCAAACAACTATCTCATACAGCCAGCAATTCATAGCTATGAAAGACCAAACCATGCCAGTGGTTAAAAAGAAATCTTTATTTTTACAAAATTAAAAACATAAATAATATTTACAAGCATCTTAAATACCAGCTTATAATACTTGACATTTTCAAATCATTTCAAATTGAGTTTTCCATTAAGTTTTTAAAATGCAAGATTATTCACCAGTTAGTGAGTTACCAGTTTTCATTTCCACTATTCCAAAAGGGTTTTTGGTTTTTCAAAATTGTCCATACTGTAGTCATTCAAAAAAAATAGTGTACTTTTTAAATGACTAATTTAAAAAAAAATCATAGTCCTGAGCTTCCTACCCCCACTTGTGGGATGTTACGCCAAGAGAACTCCATAAACCCAATTTTTTACTGCCCCATTTACATGTAACCACTCTAGCTTTTTAAAGACTCGTATTCCTGATACTCAAATTAATCCACCTTCCTAATGTCTCAAGTCTGTTGAAAGGAAAAGCAGAGGAAACAAGAGAAGAGAGGTGGGAGAATACAAATGACCATCTGAAATCACATTACTGAAAATATAAGGCTTATGACCTAAAACTTCATCTTACTAATTCCCTTCAGGATCAAATCAATATTTTATTATATGAAAACTTAAAATGATTTCAAATGATGCACACGTGACAGCAAACCTCAGTGGCACAATGGAACACAGACTTTAAAGACACACAAGTGGTTAACATAATACCCATTCTAGAGCTCCTCAGGAATGAAGGGTAGACAGATCCAGTAGGATTTTGTTTTTAAGAAAAGCTTTCCTTATCTGGTCTTCAAATTTCAGCACTAATTCATTTCCACATAATAGTACATAAAGACTAATAAAGAGTGAGAAGAGCAAAACTCAAGAAGGGTCATGTTAAAAAAAAAGAAAAAGGAAAGGAAAAGACTCAACATCTATAATCCATTTCACAACACACCATTTTGTTCCACTTTCCCTGGCAGCCCTCAGCTCAGCTGAGAATCATAGCATAAGTCTTCACCCTCAAGAAATTAGCAACAAACTTAAAAGAAAAAGAATGACAACAGGTAAGAGTTATATATATTTTACTAGTTTCTTTCTCAGTTGTCCCGGATATTTAAAAAGGTGTCAAATGAGCCATGGATGCTGGTGGCAGGAGGCAACTGGAGAGGAGAGCCTTGGGGAGGAAGAACAGGAAAAGACCTGTTCACAAATTCAGAGCAAACTCCACTCCTCTGGATCTAAAAGACATCTTTTGTCTTCAGTAACAAAAGTCTTTCTGTCCCCGCAGATGTTAGCACAGTTTGCTCAAGATGCATTTTCCCATGGGGAGGAAGGTAACTACACTGACAGCACAGTAAGCACCACGCTGGGCGCAGGCCCACCCGAGAGCCGCGCCGCCATCACTGCTGCAGGTTGTTGATGATCGCCAGGATGCTCATCTTCTCCTGGGCAGAGTCCACATCCTCATTCTGCTTCTGGGCCACTCCCGTGCCTAGGCCATAGAGCCGCCCACAGTACTTGGCATCATCAATACTGTCCTCAAAAAACAACTGCAAACAGGACAGAGAACTCATGGTGAGAATCATGCCAGGAGTCATGCCAAGTCTCAACACGACCACATAGGCGTCTCCCAGCTCTTGTAACGCCCCGAAAATCTAGCCAGCTAGAAACTAACTTCATAAAGAAAGGCTCCAAACCTTCCCTTCATAGTCTTCATGCTCCTTTCTCTAAACAGGCTCTTCTTTCTGAACAGACTTCTATTTGCCGTGAGTTCCTTCACTGCCAGGGTCCGTGTGCTGCCGTTTAGTACAACTGCTCCCATCTCCTCCCTTCTCTTTAACAAGCAGTACACTGATGAAGAGCTTGGGCTCTGGACTCAAGACTGCCTCACTGGGTGATCTTAGGAGAGTCACTTCAGCTCCCCTTAAGCCATGGCTCCCTATCTATAAAAACAGTGTAATATAATAATAGGTTGTTAGGAGTGAGATAATGGACACTAAGCACTTACAGCAAGCAGAGTATCTCACCCTTGACACTACTGGACAGAATTCTTTGTTGGGAGTGGGGAGGTGGGGGTGTCCAGTGTATTGCAGTACTGTAAGGTGTTTAGCAGAATCCCTGGCCAGCTGCCCCACCTAGGACCAGGTTATGACAATAAAAACTGTCTCCAGACAATTTGTCTCCAGTAGCCTGCCAAAGGCACTTTGGGAGCAACATCAGGGATCGTGATCCTGCTTTGTTCTTTCTCAAGATTGCTTTGGCTATTCAGGATCTTTTGTGGTTCCATACAAATTTTAAGATTGTTCCATTCTGTGAAAAATGCCTTGGTATTTTGATAAGGATTGCAATGAATTTATAGATGGCTTTGGGTAGTATGGACAATTTAACAATAGTATTTCTTCCAATCCATAAGCACAGAATAGCTTTCCATTTATTGATGTCATCTTCAACTTTTTTCATCAGTGATAAAAGTTTTCAGTGTACAGGGCTGTCACCTCCTTGGTTAAATTTATTCCTAGGTATTTTATTCTTTTTGTTGCAACTGTAAATAGGATTGTTTTCTTAATTGCTCTTTCTGCTAGTTCATTACTAGTATATAGAAATGAAACAATTTCTGTATATTGATTTTATACCTTGCAAATTTACTGAATTCATTTATTCTATGTTTTCTGGTGGACTCCAGGGTATTGTATATGTAGTATCATGTCATCTGCAAACAGTGACGGTTTTACTTCCTCCTTTCCAATTTAGACGCTCTGTATTTCTTTTTCTTGCCTAACTGCTCTGGCTAGGTCTTCTAATACCATGTTAAATAAAAGTGGCAAGAATGGGCATACTTGTCTTGTTCCTGATCTGAGAGAAAAAGCTTTCAGCTTTTCACTGTTGAGTATGTCAGCTGTGAAACATTTGATAAGTAACAGAATTCAGCATACAATAAGTGGGTGGTCTAATAAATGTGTTCAAAATATAGCAATCAGAAGAAAAACAACCATAAGGATTAGAGCTGCTAAGAACACCAAGTACACTTCTAGACTTGAGCATGCTTAGTGGCCTCCATTTCAGAATACTTCTTTGCCTCCCAAACTACCTTTAATATATTGAACATCATAACAAACAAAAAACCAATTACTGTTTTCCAAGTGGTCAATTTCCAAGAGAAACTATAAATTTTCAACAAATCTCAGCCCACAAAGATCACCCACCTCCTAAGCCTTACCTCTTTCATTCTGAAGAATGCCATTCCTGTCAGCAGTGAGTCTGAGCCTGCCTGATGCTGTCTTCCAATTCTCTGCAAGTCCAACTGATCAGCAACCTCCTGAAGACCTCCCTGGAGATGTAAGGAAAGCAAATATTATGGATCCAACACTCCTTTACTGGAGTCAACTAAGTCCACCCCTGACTTTACTTCTTTTGGTGACGAGAAATGGAAATAGGCCATTTATTTAGCACGCCTAACCCCAAAAGAATCCCTTCTATAGCCCTCCAAATGATATATTGTGTTATATTCCACTTTTCACTCCTTTCTTTTCTATATCATTAATTTTGTCAGGCCTCTGTTCCTTACATGCCTAACTGCTATAAAACAAGGTTGAGGGAACAGTAAATGCCAATCCAATTCTTGATAGGAAAACCTCTTACATCAACAACTTATTATCATAGTGAGTTCTTAAATTGTCTAGGATCAAGAATTCCCTGTGAGACAATATAAGTTGGTCACAGGGACGGTGGTACAGCATGGAGAATACAGTCAACAATTCTGCAACATCTTACTACATTGATAGATAGTAACCACACTAGAAGGGGTGATGATTTAATAATATGGGTAACTGTTGAACCACTGTTGTATATCTGAAACCAACATAAGATTGTATATCAATAATATTTTAATTTTAAAAAAAGAGAGTCTGATACACTACAGACCCCAACTGTGACAAACTGCACACACACTTCACACTGCCAACTGTTTCACCAGGTTCATGGGCCCCAGGTTAAGAACGCCCATCCTTCATGTCCAGATTAAAGAGTTTCCACACAAATCCCTGTGCTAATCAGTTCCATATACACCCTGTCTAAGACAATGCTGGCACCTAGCAGGCACCCAAGATCACATGCTGAACACATCTGCTTTTTTATCTTTTTTTGTTGTTACTGATATTAAGAAAAATATTTTTGTACCTTAAGATTTTTGCAACTCTTCATCAGGTATTTCACATCATAAATGGACGGGAAGAAAAGGTTCAGAATATGAAAGAATTCATGTTCTTCTTCTGGCAAACGAGAATCCGTAAGTAACTTTACCATGTAGCCAAAATCATAGCCACTATAGAATGAGGCAATGAGATAAAAAACCAACAGTTAATAAGTCCCCAACATTCAACTGCTTTATTTCTCTAGTTTCCACACAAATCCCTGTGCTAATCAGTTCCATATACACCCTGTCTAAGACAATGCTGGCACCTAGCAGGCACCCAAGATCACATGCTGAACACATCTGCTTTTTTATCTTTTTTTGTTGTTACTGATATTAAGAAAAATATTTTTGTACCTTAAGATTTTTGCAACTCTTCATCAGGTATTTCACATCATAAATGGACGGGAAGAAAAGGTTCAGAATATGAAAGAATTCATGTTCTTCTTCTGGCAAACGAGAATCCGTAAGTAACTTTACCATGTAGCCAAAATCATAGCCACTATAGAATGAGGCAATGAGATAAAAAACCAACAGTTAATAAGTCCCCAACATTCAACTGCTTTATTTCTCAAAGCTTATGATGCTACCTGGCCTTAGGAACTTAAATTCTCCAAAGTAGTTTACCCTATGGTAATCTGAATCTTCCATTAAATAACAGACTAATATGGGAGACATATAAAAGAACTCAGGGGTTTATAAATGTGGGTTTTAGTTACCAAAAATGAAAAAACACTGAGAAAGTAAAACAGCAATCTCCTAAGGGAAATCTGGTGTTTGAGGACCTAGGGACCTCCAGGCCAGCCATTTAAAAGACAAGAGAAAGATGACCAAATGCTTTGATCCTCCCCACTCTCCATCTTTCCACTTGAAATATACCCATTGACAGCCACATAATAGAGCCCAATACTGTGCTAAAGGAACCTGTATGAGCTCCAAAGTGTTTTTTGAAAAACTGAAAACATTAGGACAATTACAAAATAAGATTCAATTCCCTACTCCCAAAGCAGGAGAGATACATTCTCTGGGACTGACCTGTGAAATGAAAGCCATTTGACATTGTCACAGAGAACCACCCCTGATGTCATAAGCAGCTCTGCAAAGTGCAATGTGTCAATCCCTTCCTCTTCGTGCTTCTGAAACTGCAGCCCCGAGTTAGCAAGGAGATCTATGGAATCCTGGGAGTACATGTCCTCTCTAAAAAAAGAAAGTGTTCACTTCTTAGCTAGTAGATAATGTAACAGGGAAGTACTGGGCAAAAATACTAACATTACCTTATAATTGCAGAACAAGTATTCTTGAAATAATTTAAGAACAGATCAACTCATTCTTTCCAGTATTCCAGCAAGCATGCAAAGTAGATAATCTCTGACAGAAAAATGGAATGCCCCCCACAAAATAAAAGATCCACACCTTCTACTGTTTAAAGAAACAGTACCAACCAATACAAAAATATTTAAAATAGCAGAAAATAAAAAAGAATAATGTTCTTATGATACTCCATAGATATAACTGTTAGCAACTTGGTTCACATATCCTTGCAGACTATTTTCTCTACCTACACATACACACCTCCATATACACTTAAATTTATATATGATAGATCATCTTACTAGGTCAATTCTCATAGATATGCCACAACTCTGGCATAATATTCAACTTAAAGATATATCCATTAATTTAAATATGGGAATATTTTAATACCACATATCATAAAGTAGGGAAATAACTCCTTTTCCACTCCCTCTTACTGTTTTCCTTTCATTTGTTTTTCACAAAAACTCAGAACAGACTGGGAAAACAAAACACCACCATCTTAATTTTTTTCTACTAAATTAAAACCAGTGTTGAATTGCAATCTTCTGTTCCACTAAACAGTTCTTTAAACACATACACAAACTTTGCAATAAAAACAACCCTTACTTTCCCTTGTATATTATATTACTATTATGGTACAAACAACTGACTTCAGTAAGGGCTAAAAAAAATGCAGTTAAAGTCATCTCCCAAAATTATTCTTTGAACCTCAAGGAAATCTCCCAAACATATGAACAACAATCAAAAAATTATTCCTGAGTTATCAAATGTTTCAGTTAAATAAAGTAATATTAAAGAACTGGGGCCCAATAAGAAATACTCTAACACCACCTCATATAATCAATAAAACAATAGTCTTCCCCAAATTTTCATCCTCAAAAACTTAAAAATAGAACTATCATATGCTCCAGCAATCCCACTTCTGGGTATATATTCAAAGGACTTGAAAGCAGGGTCTTTAAGAGGTTATGTGCACACCCATGTTCATAGCAACATTATTTACAACAGCCAAGAAGGGGAAACAACCCAAATGTCAGTCAATGGATAAATGGATAAACAAATGAGGTCTCTACATACAATGGAATATTATTCAGTCTTACAAAGGAAGGAAATTCTGCCACATGCAACAATACAGATGACCCTTGAGGACATTATGTTGAGTGAAATAGCCTGTCTCAAAAAGACCAACACTGCATGATCCCACTTACATTAAGTATATAAAGTAAATTTAGCCACAAGTCTTTTAATTACATCAAAATGTACGTACTGTCAAAGAGGCTCCAGTTTTAGTTACCTATGATAGCATCTCCTCTATACCTTATTTCTATTATGAAAGATAATAATAACCCTGTTTTACAGATAAGGAAACTAAAATACAGAAGGTAAAATAACTGACTCAAAATCACCCAGCTAAGAAACGACAGAACAGATCACTCAAACCACAATCTTCTAAACTGGGGAACTGACTTTACTTTCTCATTTTAAATAGCCTTACTGAGACATAACTCACAAATTAAACAATTTACTCATTTAAAGTATACAACTTTAAGTAGTTTTTAATATATTCAGAGTTGTATAACCACTACTCATTTAAAGTATACAACTTTAAGTAGTTTTTAATATATTCAGATTGTATAAACACCACCACAATCAATTTTAAACCATTTCATCATCTCAAAGAAATCCCATACCTATTAAGCAATCACTTCCCATTACCCCATAACCTCCCCACCCCAAACTCTAGAAAAACTAATCTATTTTATCTTTATAGATTTGCTTATTTTAGATATTTCATATAAATAGAATCATACAGTATGTGGTTTGTGTCTAACTTCTTTCCTTTAGTAGAATGTTTTCAAAGCTCAGCTATGTACAGTATATATCAGTACTTAAATCTTTTGAACTGTCCAGTAACATTCCACTGCCTGGATATACCTCATTTAATTTATTCATTCAGTTTTAATTAAATTTAAATTACTTAAATGAAAAGTTTTGATTTATTTATTCACAGACATTCGGACTATTTCCTCTTTGGGGCCCTCAAAGATAATGCTACTATGAACATTTATGTATAAGTTTTTGCAGGAATGTATGTTTTCATTTCTCTTGGGTATTTGCCTAGGAATGGAACTGTGGGGTCATGTGATAGCTCTGTTTAACCTTTTGTGAAACTGCCTGTTTTCCAACGAGGCTGCACCATTTTACATTCCCAAATAGCAATGTATAAGGATTCTAATTTCTCCACACCCTTGCTAATATTTGTTATTGTGTCTTTTTGATTATAGCCACCTAGTGGACGTGAAGTGGTAATCTCATTGTGGTTTTGATTTGCATCTTTTCAGGAGCTTACAAGCCATTTCTATATCTTCTTTGGAGAAATGTTATTCAGATCTTGTGCCCGTTTTTAATCGGGTTTTTTGTCTTTTTATTGTTGACATGTAAAGAGTTCTTTAGGAGGGACTTTACTTTCTGAGATTCCTTACTCCATCTTCTGCTTGACTGTTCCATCCAACCCCTAGCTGGGTTTGGTGGAAACAAAACCTAAAATTAATAAAATCAGTTAGAAATCACACTTTGCACAAATGTAGCAGATCTAATAATAATAACACCAAGAAGTGTCTCAGCCACTTACGTAAGGTTGAATTTAAAGTTGAATTGCCAAGTGTTGATTCCAGAAGGATATTCTCCCTTCTCATTCGTGAATGTAAGGCCCAGCTGGATAATTTTTAGAAGATCAACATTGCACCTTAAAAGCTGATACTGGTAATCTATGGAACTACGAAATTCACCAATTGGTCGTACCACAACACCTGGAAATTCTGTGTCCTAGGAAAGGAAATCGTCTCTCGTCATACAGATTCACAGAAAAATAGATGCTAAATTAATCATTCAGAAATAAAAAGTTTACCTCAATTTATTAAAGTTATGTGACAAGCTCCAACACTGGGCACAAAAATCTAACTTAAAAATACTTATCTCATTCATATCTACAGAAGGAGCACTAGGATCATGAAATTGAGCATAACAACTTGGAGATCCTAAGCAGGATGTCAATAAAATTAGTTGACTAAGTATAGGTCTATTAAGAACAGTCTAAGTTGAGAGCAATGTATGAATAAAAATACAAATACAGGGTAGTAAAATACTCATTCAGAGAAAAACAATAAATAGCAAGTTTAGCTTGAGTAAAAAGCCTGGAACATAATCATGAAGAGCTCTACATACCAAGCTAAAGACTTATTCTATAATATCTAAAGCAGGCATCACAAACTCCAGGCAGCTAATGTAAAAGCATATAGCAGACTGGGTATGAACATGCTTACGAGCAATGAAGACTGGGGCAAACTAGAGAATACACTCCTCCTCTAAAAAAGGCCCTGATATCACCATGGGACACATCTCCCTCTCCAGCCAAGTTCCAATCAGGCTGGAATGTGAACCCTATAACGCCAGATCTTCCCATTTTTTCCAGAGATGCCAGAAATCTGGAATTTAAGTAAGGTCTCTTAATTTTTAAATGCTGGCAATTAATTTAAAAAAAATTTTTAAACACTGTCAGTCAATTTTACAGTATCTGTAGGGACAGATGTGCCCTACAGGTTGATATAACTTCTGCTTTAAAGATTTCTGAACACAGAGTAACATCACAAAAAAACTAAGATAACTAGATGTTATATCCTTCTCAGACACACTGGCTACTGTGATGTTTCATAAAAGCATCATACCCTTTCATCAAATTTGATTTATCATGGCTTTAGTGTAATCATTTTTTCAAAATCTCACATTAATTATTCCCCAAGTCTACACGAGAAAGTGAATCAAATAGAGTAAAGCTCTTTACCATAGCAATATAACTGTAACTGAGCACGATTTCTCTGATCTTCCTCATTTCTTCTTCTAGATTGCTGGCCCAGACTTCACAGATAACCTGGCTGTTTTCCACAAGCGCTGCAGGCATCCTGAAGAACCCGAGAGGTCACTTTCAGCTGACTACGTAAAGAGGGCAAACCAATGGTTGACCTGATCTAGAGTCAAAAACATATTTTGAAATCTTTTAAATTTATGCACTGGCATAAGATATCAACAAAACAAAGACATCAATTCATCAGTTTACCATCACTTTTTACCATCACTTCATCAATTTAGGTTAAAACATAAAGAATATTTTGTTTTCCATTTTATACGATGGGGTCACTTGCCTTTGTCAAGACACACACTCCCTCTTTCTCAGTTCTTTAATCTAAAGAAACCAAAATTACTTAAGAAATCTGAAAAACTTTTGCCCAAGCTGCCCTTTAGTGAAGAAGTGAAACCACTACCCTAGAACAGTTCTTGAGCCTGCTCCAGGCTACCTAACTAAAGACTAAAACAGTCCCATGACCACAAATACGCCCTTATCCATGACTTTACATCACCTTGCACTGAGACCAAATCATGGAAACATTTCTAAAGGAATACTTTAGGCAGTTTAAAAGTACCTGTGATCTCTGAAAGCCTGAAGAATGTGGATCTAACTCTCACGTTTGAGTCTTAATACCCATATGATGAATTTGGGCATTGGACATCCCCTCTATCTCCCAAAAAAGGAAACTCTCTTTCCTCACAATCCAAAGTCAAATACAACTAGGGATAATTAACTAACTTAATATAGTGTCACTTGACATTGTGCAAATAGATCATGAAGGTTTTTTTGTTTTTTTTTTTAGAGAGTTTATTATCTGAAAGAAAATGGCTGCCCCCAGAGAGAGGGAGCCTCATGAAGGTTTTAAGTAGTAAAAACCAATCCCACTTGCTAATTTGAAACTTTAACAACCACAATGAAAATTAGAATTTGAATTATTGTCTACTTTCAAATACATAACATTATAAGGAAACCAAGCAGCAATTCAATAAGAATATTGTTGAAGTCATCCGGAAATAGAATGATTCACAGCACATATTCTGGGAGGAAACTGGGGAGGGGACAGTATGCTGCAAGATAAAACCCAACACGGCTCAGCCTCAGAGTAATGGCGTTACAAGGGCAATGAGATGTTTGGTCATAGACCAAAAGGAGCTTATTATAAGAGCATTTATTTAGAAGGCAACCCCGCCATAAGGATATTCAACACAATTGAAGAGTGGGCTCTCGCGAATATATTCAGAGGAAAATTCCTAGAAACAGTAAAATGAATCTTTGTTTTCTACTTTCAAGATAGGCACAAGCAACAAAATAATCTAGATCAAAACAAAACTGGCATTCGCAAGTGGCAATCTGTTGGTTTGTTAGCAACTCTTTTGAAGATTCATTTATTCAAGGTACCCTACACTTCAACAGATGTTTCTCTGAAATTATAGTAGACTTAATTTGTAGACTTAATATTAGACTTAAGTATACTCTGAAACTTAAGTAGACTGTGGTATCTTCCTAACAACATAGGTGGGCACTTCTTAAAGGCAAAATCCATTTCCTCTCGTTTTGGCTCTATACACAATGTGAATGAATTAAAAGCTAGCAGATGAACAAATGAAGATCAGAAAAGCACAAAGTTCAGACTGAGTTATGGAATCTACTATCTGGGCATAATTAAGAAAACGTTGGGAATCACAAAACTTTAGACTCTAAACCATGCTTATGGTTATCCCCTACAAAATGACATAAGACTATGTCTGTGCTAGTTTATGTTAAATCAGTACCACTTTGTTCCCTTACTACCTAATTGAAACAATATACTTCCTTTTGGTGTCATTTCAAACACAACCATAAAGTTACTTTAGGGAAAGTGGTTATCATCAGTCTGGGAGACATTTCCATGAAAGCAAATGCAACTAAAGCAAGCCAAGCAAAAAATGCTTCTGGCCTCCAAGCAGCAGAGGCAGCTTAATAAGAGAACAATCAGGTATTTACACTAAACTCTTAGAACCAGGCTCCCCAGCTAAGAAACTCTGAAGGTTGTGTCAAAAGAACCTCAAGAAACAATCTGACCAAGCTCCCTCTGCTAAAAGACAGTATGAACATCACTGTGGAAAATTACTACCATGTAGTAAAACTTCTGACAGGCTTAACTCCATGTGTTCATAATGAACTAAGAAAATGAACTTAGCTGATCACAAGAATGCCAGTGAATCAACTTATTTTTAAATATGCTTTCCTAAATAAACTGCATTGCTAAGTAACTAGGTAACTAAGTTGAGAGATATTTTCTCTTTAAAGAAATTATACAGCTAACAAATAAATACAGAATGACAATATCACCATTTTGTAACTCCTAATGAATTTATAGATCTGGGAAGTAATAAGGCATCTATATGGATTATCCGAAAAGGCAAATCTATAAAGACAGAAAATAAACTACAGTGTTGGGATGGGAATAGAGATCAATCCTAACTGGGCATGAGGTTATCTTAACTGAGGTGATGGTAATGTTCCCAAACTCAAGTTACCTCGATGACTGCCACATATTAAGAAACTTACTAAAAACTACTGAATGCTACACTAAAATGGATGAGTTTTATAGTAGATAAATTATACCTCAGTACAGTCAAAGCCATAAGCACAATGGTTGTAATAATCACAAAAAGCAATGGCCAAAATATTATGTGCCTCCTGACAGAACACATCACTACTATGAACAGTCTTGCCAAAAAAAGAAATCTAACTTGAATCTGACCAAGCATCTGTAAGTATCAATTTACAGGAAATAAAAAGGAACAGAGGAACATGTTAAAAGGATACCACAGAAATGTAATAAGCAAAATCATCGGGAACTGCCAAACCAACCAGCTTTTTCAACTAATAAACTGTTCCCAGGAGACATATCACCCAAGCAAAATGTAGAGATCTTAGCTGGAACCTGTTTTAAACAGTTGGGTCGGGTAGGTATTTTTGAGACAATCAGAAGTCTGAACACGACAGGCTGGTTGTTTCTTTGTGTTTTTCTTTGTTTTCTTTGTTGGGGAGGGGTGTTATATCCTGATTGTGGCTTCTTTTTAAAGCCCGTACTGTTTAAAGATAATGCAAAATAGTTGCTGGTGATAAGATTCAAAATGTGGGCCTTTGCTTCAAAGTATCAGTGGAGAAAACTCAAAACTTTGTACAGTGTTATCTTCCTCTACATTTTACATTTAAGATAAGTGAAATTCAGCGACATTAATTTTAAAAGGCAGCATCATGACTATCATTTCCAGGAAAAAAAAATTTTTTTTAAGTTAACCATTGTTACACATACCTGACAAATGGGGAACACAAAAGCAGGCCATTGGCAAAAGTATGTAAGGCATTCCTGCACCAAACCCTTATCTAGGAAAAGGGGGTTGGGGATAGAGGGTGGGGGTGGTTGCAAACAACAGCTTGCAAACCCCAAACTGCAGTGCCACTCAAAAATTTTAAAGGAACACATTACTTAGCATAAACTTCTGGATATGCTAGAAAAAATTTAAAATAATAATAAATAATGCTAGGAATTCTGCCTGCCACTTTCCACTCACTCACGTGAACACATGCTCCAGAATGTAACCTAAGATGGGTATTACATATCGTCCCCCTTGGTTAGTCTTCCTTTTAAGCCTCTCAGTGCCAGAATGACACAGTGCACCTCACGGTACAGAGTGACTCTATGCCATTCAAATATGTTTGTTTGTGCAACACAGCCCCTAAAGGTAACGTAAGTACTTTATGTGGGTTACAACCAAAGAAACAGTAAAAGTTTCAAACCTGAAGGAAAAACTGAGCTTTATTTACTGAGAAAAGGAATGGCATCTCTAACTTTGCACCTTCCCAAGGAATTTTTACGGACAATTTTGATCAGCACGTAATGTTTGCCTTACAGGCTGACTATAAGATTTGACCCCTACATGAGCTAATCCACTCAATGAAAACTTGCCTACCACATTAGTTACTCTACTCTATATATAAGAAAATACAAGCACTAACTGATACCTGTTGTTTCCCAGTACTAGACTGTAGAAGGAGGAAAGGACACACACAGAAATTACTGAGGTCGCTGCCCTGTACTGATCTATAGTACAATCTGGGCAGACCGTTCCTGATGACCTACAGTGTAAACTCCCAAATAAAACTCATTTACCATGGAAAGCTCTGAAGAGCACCAAATGATAAGGCCACTCGAAAGCGTTCTCTGCAGGTAATCCAGAGTATCAAGCCTTGCTCAGTAAAAGAATGTTTTTTCTGGCTCGGTTATGTTTAAACCAAAGTGTACAAGGAAACAATAAACACCACTTCCCCATCCTAGGGGATTAAACAAAGGCTTAGACGCGCATGGGTAAAATGGAAAAGGAAGTAGCAACCGTTAAGAAATGGCAGCTTGGAAGAGGGTCCTCGGCACACGCCGCCGCCGTACTCGCGCCCGCCTCTTACCCCCTACCCCCGGGTGTCTGAAGGCACTACGTGGACGGCGCCGCAATTCAACCAGTTCCTCGGCACCCGCGTGGCCCAAGCCTGCGAGCCGGCTCCTCCAGAGTAACGGCTCTGCTTCGGACGGCCGTAGAACGGCGAGGAAAATTCCTCCTAACACCCCTTACTTATTTATTTGTAAAGCAAAGATATTAAAATCATACGCCTTAGGGCCAGACAGAATTTCGAAGACACGCCGACAAGTTGTGTGGCTTTTCGTAAGTCACTTAACCTCTCTCGGGTCTCAGTTTTCCTATCTAGTAAAATGGGTTTAATAATAGTACACACCTCGAAGGGCCGCAAGCGAGGTTAACAGAATGAAGCATATATGATGTTTTGCAAGGGCCCGGAACATATCACTAGAATATTATCGCGTAGCGACGGTTTTTTCTACTACTCTGCGGGCCTTTTTCCTTTCACACACCCTGCCCCTCACTCTTCCTCCTCCCACAGGCCCCGACGGCTCCCATACTCATCTCACGCTCCTCTCCGGCATGCGCGGGCCCGCTTACCCTGAGCGGAAGGGCCCGCTAACCGCGCGCGGGCTGGAAAGCTGGCTGGCTGACTATCCGGGAGCTACGGCGGCCCCTGACCCGGCGCTCTCCTCCCCCTGCCCCGGATCGGTTCCAGGAACCGAGCTGGCCAGTGAGATGGGCGCCCCCGTGCCCAGAGAGGCCATACGCGCCGCCACCAAACAACTTGGCCGCACCACTCTACCCACCCGATCCTCCCGACTCGCCTGCTCCTTCACGCCAATCCAGGCGTGCGCGCGCCTGACCTTGCCTGCTCCTCCCCTTCTACGCGCCCCGGAACCTGTGGGAGCAGTGCGCAGGCGCAAAACGAAGAGGACTCCGCGACAACTACTGGGCGGGGAGACCTCGGAAGTAGCTAGCGGAACACCGCCCGCCCTAGGCCTTGGCGCGCTTACTTGCGCTCCTCTATTCAATCGTGAAGACTATCTCCGACATTTCGATTCTCGTGGCGCGCGCACAGGGAGGGGGCATGGCCCCTATAGACCAAAAACTGAGGAAATAGCTTGGCCCGTCTCACCAAACCCCCCAAATTGCAACGCCCCCTCCTTCCTGCTTTGAGGGACCGCCGCCTGGAGCGGACTTGGGGGAGGTTGGTAGTGGAGGAGTCCTGACTTATCTCTCTAGTAATGCAGCCCTCTGGCCCCCTCCCAGGACATCCACCGTACTGCCTCGTTTCTGGTAAGTAGTTGGGGGTGGAGCAGTTTAAATCCGGGGAGAGAAAATCCCGGGGTAAAATACCTCTAAAAACCGAAATCAGTCAAAGGGAGAAATAAAGTTTAAAACCCATGTATTGCTTACAAACTGCAGCCTGGGGCCTTCTGTCTTTCCTGCTCCAGCGGAGGCAAAACCGGCACTACTACTCTTCTCTCAGGTGCAGATAAGCCCTCCAATGCCCAGTTAATTACCCACTGATATGGAAATGAACTTCTCTCCACCACTGAGGATATGCATTTTCCACCTCTTAGTTGCCTATTGATAGTCAGATGTACTAAAGCCAGGTGAGATATTCTGGAAATATTACAATTTTACCCACAGGCCAGCCCTCCAGAAATCTCACCTTACAATTTACTCATTCCCCCTCTTCCAAACAAACTAATGACAGACAATAGCAACAGCAATAAAACCATGATAATCCTCAAGCCAGAGGATTCATCCTATGCATTTTAAGATACTTTACAGCACAATCTCTTACTAAGCACGAAATATGTTTCTACACTTGTTTACTCATTCCTAATAACCATGCTAGATTGCTCACAAAACTTATACCAAACATGAGACAAAGTCAAGCCTCTCTTTAAGCATTTTTTTCTTGACAACAGCAACACAATCATGATAATTCTCCAGCCAGAAGATTCAGCTAGGTTCAAAGTTCCATGCAGACTTAAGTCCAAAGCTCATCCGTTCCAGCCATCACGCGGCAGCTGCAGCCAGGGGGCGCTTCCAGGACACAAGGATTGAGGAAGCAAATAACCGTGATTTGCGGGGGTCACTTTGCTGTTTTCCCAGGAATACACAGGAGGCCAGCTTCCAGGCCCTTTCCCCAAGGTGCCAGAAGAGCCAGCCATCGCCGGTCCATGTGTTGAAAGTACAGGGCCATGTCCATTTTATTCCTAATTGCTACACCCATCCTTGCAAAGCATTTCCAATAAAGTGGGTGCTTTGATCGCTCTTAATCACCTGTGGCCGGCCATGAGCTGCAAAGAGATACTCTAGGCCCCTCTTAGTAGTTTGCTGATCTGCACAACTTGCAGGGCACTCGTTCTGGACTCAGCTGACTTCTTCAAAGATCAATGGCAAGCCCCACCAATGGGCCACCCCCCATATTGTCTTTTCCCCTGCATGCAACAAGCACTGATATAGCCATTGGGCCACATCAGAGGCAGTCTTTCCTTCTGGCCAGCACACCTGGGCCATGCGTCTGCTTCATTCCCTGGGGGTGCCAAAGGCAAATGGCCAGTCACAGTAGGTGTCTGTGCCATGCCACAACATGGCCTTTGAGTCCAGTCTTGCACCCACCCCACAATGATTTAGGTGGTTATTACCTTGGTCAGCTGTTCCGGTGATGTGGGCTCCCTAGCCAGCAAGGCATGGTACACAGCAGCCAGTTGCTTCTTTATCAAGGTGACCTGGAACACTGCTTTCCATAGTTGTGACCAGGCTCTGTCCGGCAGCCGGAGAAGCAGCAGTGGCAGAAGCAGTAGCCTTAGGTTTGGGCCACAGGCCAAGGTTGGTGCGGCCAGCAGCGGTGGTGGTGCCTCCACGACCACATGAGTGTAGATACACATCCCTCGGTGCAAACGCCACTTCTCCCCGTCATTTCTAGGGGCGGCCCTCCCAAAGGCCGCATCCATCATGACAGATTTTGGGTTCAGAGGAATCCTGCCGACTGTGCCAGATGTAAGTAAATCCGGGGGCAAAATACCTCTAAAAACTGAAATTAGGCAAAGGGAGAAACCCATTTACTGCTTACAAACTGCAGTCTGGGGCCTTCTCTCTTTCCTGCTCCAGCGGAAGCAAAACCAGCACTACTCACCTCTCAGGTACAGATAAGCCTTCCAATGCCCAGGTAATTACCCACTGATATGGAGATGAACTTCTCTCCACCACTGAGGATATGCAAATACACTAAAGCCATACTTTTTTTCCACCTCTTAATGCCTGTTGATATGCAGATCTACTAAAGCCAGGTGAGATATTCTGGAAATATTACAATTTTACCCACAGGCAGCATCACCAAAACCAGTCTTGGTGACCTTCTCCAAGGCCCCCTTCCCTCCCCCCTGCCTCACAGAACCGGGCATTACCACAGCAACCGGCCAGCCAGGGCTTGCTCAAGTTACTGAGAAGATGCCTCGCAGGCCTTTCAAGAAGCTCCGAGTCCTGGCAGACTCTAAGCATGCTTGCCAGATTTTCATTGTGGGAGCAGTGGGGCCGAGGCCTAGACCAGGAGGTCCCTAAAGCCTCCCCCCGCCCTTCACTCGCTGTGAATCCTGTTTGGAAAGAGGGCTCTTTGCCAATGCCTGGCCTTGGCAGCGACTGACCAGCCTCAGATGCAACGCTGCCTCGTATTCTCCAGTGGTGCGCAGAAAGACAAAGCCCTGACTTCCTGCACACAGCTATCAATCCCAGACTGCCTTCATCTGCACTCTCGCTGCAACACTACCCTATCCCTGAGAGGGTGCAGAGGGCCCAAAGCATGACTCAAACGCCACTTCTCCCCGTCATTTCTAGGGGCGGCCCTCCCAAAGGCCGCATCCATCATGACAGATTTTGGGTTCAGAGGAATCCTGCCGACTGTGCCAGATGTAAGTAAATCCGGGGGCAAAATACCTCTAAAAACAAATTAGGCAAAGGGAGAAACCCATTTACTGCTTACAAACTGCAGTCTGGGGCCTTCTCTCTTTCCTGCTCCAGCGGAAGCAAAACCAGCACTACTCACCTCTCAGGTACAGATAAGCCTTCCAATGCCCAGGTAATTACCCACTGATATGGAGATGAACTTCTCTCCACCACTGAGGATATGCAAATACACTAAAGCCATACTTTTTTTCCACCTCTTAATGCCTGTTGATATGCAGATCTACTAAAGCCAGGTGAGATATTCTGGAAATATTACAATTTTACCCACAGGCAGCATCACCAAAACCAGTCTTGGTGACCTTCTCCAAGGCCCCCTTCCCTCCGCCCTGCCTCACAGAACCGGGCATTACCACAGCAACCGGCCAGCCAGGGCTTGCTCAAGTTACTGAGAAGATGCCTCGCAGGCCTTTCAAGAAACTCCGAGTCCTGGCAGACTCTAAGCATGCTTGCTAGATTTTCATTGTGGGAGCAGTGGGGCCGAGGCCTAGACCAGGAGGTCCCTAAAGCCTCCCCCCACCCTTCACTCGCTGTGAATCCTGTTTGGAAAGAGGGCTCTTTGCCAATGCCTGGCCTTGGCAGCGACTGACCAGCCTCAGATGCAACGCTGCCTCGTGTTCTCCAGTGGTGCGCAGAAAGACAAAGCCCTGACTTCCTGCACACAGCTATCAATCCCAGACTGCCTTCATCTGCACTCTTGCTGCAACACTACCCTATCCCTGAGAGGGTGCAGAGGGCCCAAAGCATGACTCTGGTCATAGTCGTAGATGCCTTCACTTGAAGGGGGCATCTTTGGTAAATGGATAGCAAATTTACCACCAAGGCACTGGGCCTTCCTACTTTTAAACATTTCCCCCTACGTGATTCTCTAAAATCCTGCATCCATTTCCAAGGCTTTAGGCAGAGCAGGCCTTCAGGGACAATTTCAAACTGAATTCCCAAAAGCCGTTCTCCAGGGAGGTGAACTCCCACCCCCAGGCTCCAGGGTAGAACATCAAATGCACTTTCTGAACCCCACTCCTCCTCTTCTCCCCTCCACATGAGTGTCTGCCTCCTTATCTGTAACACAGAAATATGAATAATCATCTCACAAGGTGGTTGTTAACAAATGGAATAAACACCCTTTCCTGAGGAAGAAATATAAGTGTATTCATAAATAGTTGTTTCTGGCCTGTCTCAGTTTGTTATCCCTGAGATATTCAGTATTTGTTAGCTCTTTTGCAGGCTTCCAATCACTGGGTTAAGCAATACTGTGATGGAGAAGGCAGGCAAGACACACCCTTCCACCGGTCCTCTGGGTTTCTAATATACTTTCACCCACCTGTAAGTAGATTCAGGAGAGGACAGCCCTATCAGGAGCTAGTCGCATAAGAGCAACCTCCATGATCCTTTCTTGGAATTTTGTTTTTTACTGCATCTCTGGGTTTGGTGTGCCCTGAAACAATCCCCACCTCCCCAACCCACCCCTCACCCAGAGCTGGGTGTTCATTTCTCAGGTCATTGAAGACAAATATAAAACACACATAGCTTGTATTTCAGGAGGTGTTGGAATGGTGGTTGTAAACAGTGGATTTTATGCTACACTTGCGCTAATGCAAAGTTAGAATAATTGTGTAAATCACTGATTCTCAATGGGTGGGATGTACCAAATGAGAGGGTAGTTGGAAATGAATATATTTAATAATGTAATTTCATACTTGAAAAAAAACCCTCTATTGTTTTTGAACTACAAAGTATAGAAAGTAAGACTTGAACAAATCTCAGCTGGGAGGGCATAGGTTAAAAAAATTGAAAAATACCGGTTGTAGAATCGGCATCCTTAAGAACCAGACTGCATGATATCCTTGGCCAGCCAAGTCTTTGTGATTCCCATTTCTGGATAAATCTAAAAGGATGCATTTCTTAAAATGTAATAAGCGTGGAAAGATAAAACCTAAAATATATATTTGGGGTTGAAATATTTTGAAAATGGGGAAAAAGATAAATGCCTCCTTTAAAAGTGGTTAGTACCACTATTAAATCACCCTCTGAGCCCAAATCTCAAAAACCTGTTTTATGTCCCTTAGAATGCTGACACGCCTAGATACTTGTCAACTGATTGATTCCATTGTTAAAAATTCCCCCCACCCCCAACTGAACCAAGGTCTGTCACTTTGTGTAATGTTGTCTTTTATCAGATTATATATTTATCTTTATGCTCAGCTGAATACACCCAACTGGCTTTTATCCTTGGTATAGTTGAGGTTAACTTCCTGCCTTTACAGTATGTTTGTCCCTGATTTTTTCTACATAATACAAAAAACCTTTTTCTGATTCTCAGAAACGTAACAAATCATTAAACTTCTCCTAAATATAAGGCAAACGTCATGTTTTATGACAAAGCATTTGAGTATTATTTTGATCTTTTGATTACAATCTGAAAAACCTTCTGATCTCTGATGAAATCAGAATTCATTGTTTAAATCCAGATGTAGCTATCAAATCTGTTTTATTCATATCTCATTTGATTTTCCTTGATTTTCCTTCTCAGAATCTACTGAAATAACAGAATTTCAAAATCTACTGGTAATAATCATAGACTTTTAAATTTCTAAAACTGAGAGGGTTCATAAAGATGTTCTAATCAATACATTCTCTTAAGTCCACAGAAAATAAATAAATAATGAAGGTCACCCAGCTCCCAGAGATAGGACCAGCATTTGAGTCTTCTGATTACCAGTCCAGTATGGGATTAGGTGTTCATCCAGTCAGTTTTAGTTATGGCCCCTTTGCTCTGGACAGGGCCCCACGTTTACACTAGAGGATGCCCTAGTGAGTGAAACATATGTGGTTCCTGACCTTTTGGAACTTAACATTTGGTGGCAGGAACTGACAATAATTAAGCAAGTAAACATGCTTCAAGTAAGAAATGAAAGGATAGGGAGAAATTTTGATGTTATCCTTCATGATAGTATCATGAAGGAACTAATGGGGCAAAGTGACAGCAGATAACTGGGTTGGGGGAAATTACTTAGAGGTCAAAGAAGGCATCTCTGAAAGATGGCATTTAGGCAGAGATGAGAAGGTCAAGGACCCAACAGAGGGAGAAGGAGGAAGGCATTTGTTGGGAGCAGGAAATTTCAGGCAGAGGATAAGGGACTTGTGTGCTTTAGAGGTAAGGAAAGGAGGCCAGGGCAGCCACGGACAGGTGGACCAGAGGCAGAGAGGCCAAAACGTTGCTGGAAAGGAAAGCAGAGGCCAGGTGAGGCAAGGCCTGGGAGGCTTTAGAATTATTCAAAGTGCATCGGAAAACAGAAGGATTTTATTCACAGGAATGACCTGATCCGATTTGTATTTTTAAAGATCACTTTGACTTCTGTGGACAAAGAATGGAGCAAAGGCAGAGACATCTTAATTTTTTATTTGAATTACACTAAATTTGGTAATAAAAGAAAGTCAGCTTCTCCCAGGCATGGTAAATATATTGCCTAAGGAAATAATAGGTGACTTAGGTGCTTTTACTAGGTTCTGATCAGGATTAACTGTATCTAACTTACTGATTAACTAGATTTACTAGATTCTGATTGAGAATTGACTTCCAGTACATCCTTTTGATGATAGTTATTGTGAAACTGTTCAAGCCTGCTAACTGACTATTCCTTAAATTCCAAAGAAGAATGTTGATCTCTGCCTATACAGAGCTAGGCAAATAGAAATATAGGCCAATAGAAAGACAGCAGGTGAGCACATGAATACAGATAAAACTAGTCCTTTGAGACTTCTAGTTTTAAAACTCTCTTCTCTCATTCTCTCTCCCTTTCCTTGTGCATACATGCAACAAAACCATCATCTCTGGTATTACAGCCAGATCTCAAAAACCTCTGATTTTTCTTATATGACCAGCATTTAGAATCTTCTTTGGAACATCTGTAACATTCTGTTGAGTTCTAGAAGCAATGGGACTCAAGGGCTTCAGAATATCTCTTAAGCTTCTAACTAGATGTGTTCATTTAGAATGTGGTATAAGGACTATATTCCAGAAAAATGGGTAAGCATAATGATAAATCCCAACATCAGATTATCAGACATTAGAACTGGGAGGAGCCTCAGAGATCCACTAATCCAACTCGGTTTAAGATGAGGACCAAGGTCACACAGTTGGTGGGTGAGAGCAATCAGTTGAACCCAGACCCGCGTTCTTCCAAGATCTCAGAACCTCTCCTTATGACTACTTCCTTTAAAGGAGATTAGCCAGGAAGGGGCCGTCTTATACAACCTTGATAACACGAAAGCTGAGCATTCCTCAAAGACAAGACTGAGTGCTAACCCAGAAGAGATTCTCAGTTATACAGGCTTTACTGAGGGCCTACTGTGTGCCAGTTTTAGGGCCATTGAGACACATAAAGCCCCTTCTTGAAATTATTATAGAAAAAATACCTGCTACAGTAGGGAGTATTCATTATGCAAGTTCAGAAAAAAAAAAAGGAAGCAAAATAGTGGACAGGACCAAGAAGGAAAGTCTGGGTGGAAGATCAGTAGGTATAACCAATGATATGGAGGAAGGGACAACAGAACAGAAAATAGAAAAACATTTCTGCACATAATAAGTGATTAATAAATGTTCACACATGACAGTCATGCTTGGAGCATCAGAATGTAGGAAGTAATAGGAAATGATGTTAAGCAAAAGGAGCTAGACTAAGGGGGGCCTTGGAAGTCAGGTAGCAAGGTTTTCTCAGTGTCCAAGACAGACTTGCCTGGCGAGGGAATATATGCATTATATAAATATGTAGAATATTGGAAAAAATATTGGTACCTCTGAAAGGAGAGATGGGGAACAACATGAACACTTGTACAAGATATGATTAATCTGTGAGCAAGCACTGAATGTTTCCTGAGCCCTTTGCCTTGTGCATGGAATTAGGCAGGAAAGATGACCGAGACATGGTCCTTTATTGGCTAAAGTATGACACATCTAGTCAGTGGGATGGCATGCAGCCCTTAAAAAGAACGTGGTAACTCTTAAAGTACCAAATTAAACAATCTCCACCTTTGAGTATTAAGTAAAAAAAGTAAGGAGCAGAACAAGCATATATGATGTGCTGTTTCTAAAGAAGATGGGGAGAAATATATGTTTGTATTTACTTGCACGCTCTGGATAGATAAGCAAAACAGTGGTCATAAGGGTGCCTCTTAAGAGAAGTAGGAGACTGGGGGGTAGTGATAAAAGACTTTTTGCTGTACATTCTCTTGACCCTTTTGTATTTTACAGCAAATGCATATATTGCCTATTCAAAAATAATTTTTAGAAATTTAAGATTTAAAACTCAGTTCTTTTTCACAGGTGCTCATCATTTCATGTCATGGCTCCTGTGCCATAATTCAGTCAAAAGTATAAACTTAACCTCTGCAGGTGTCCCTTTCCTGCATCTAGACTTGTTAGGCAGAAAAATAGATATGAGTGGGGTGGAGAGAGAATAAGGCCAGTTAAACCCACTAAAAGGGACTCTAAGGGTTAACCAATTAAAACTAGAGAGCCAGAAAAGACTCACATAGTTAATGAGTTAATCAGTTGAAGCTCCAAAGGCCAGGAGTAACTTGGAATATCCAGATAAAGAAAAGTATCTCAGCCCAGCCCAAAGTCTTCATCATATCAATCAGATCATGCCATAGTAAGATTTGCTTCAGCCTGCTAAAAGGCCCAGCTTATTCTTTAACTTAATCTATATACTGTTTTTTTTTTTTACTCCTCCAGCCTCTAATCAAGTAATTTGCAATTTGCAACCTGGGCTGGAGACAAAGATCATGATTAATTTAGCAAACAAGCCCAGATAGAAACAGCATAGTAAAAATAGGAAAGATTCCATCTTAAAGCTAAGATTGCATTTCAAAGCCCTGGAAGTTAGAAAGCAAGATTCTTAACAGATTCTTAAGCGAACAGACAATAACTCAGCGCACCTTGGGGCAGAGCAGGCGGTCTTGATTGATATGTTCCTAGCTATCTTGGGAAGGAACCAGATCAGTAAATTTCTTGTGTTAATTTTGCAGAATTACCTGGAGTACTGATAATAGAAGAGACTGTAGTGTCTCTCGTCAAAGATAAACATCTTGAGACCACGTAAGTCTACACCCCCTAGCCCTTTGCCACATTCCTGAAAAATCCTTAAAAGGGGGAACCCTCAAACTTTCAGCGTGCCCCTCTCCGAGGTCACTGCACATTCTGTTTTTAAATAAAACTTTCAACCTTTCAGGGCACTCCTCCTCTCTGAGGTCGCCCGCAGTTTTTCACTCTTTAAGTGAAACGTTTACTCTGCTTCACTACCTGTCTCTACCGTTCAATTCTTTTTGCAACAGGAACAAGAACCAAGGAAAATAAACAACCGCCCCTGACAGACTCCGTAGTAATAGCTGATGCATCTCTCCTCCCTTGCCAGCCCTCAGCAGCAACAGGAGCAATTAAAAAAGAGAAAACAAGGTCCTGTGGTCCAAGTAAACTTTTTAATCCACTCGGACTGCCTGCCTTCTCCCTTCTACATTATCTAATAACCACGTCTCTTATTGAACCTGCCTTCTATGGGACAGCAACATTTTCTTAAGTTGAAGACGATGAAGGAAGTTTTCAAAGAGAAGTTTGGTCGAATGAGCTCATTCAAGCCTCTGCTTGCACCGCATATTTCCTCTCAGCTTTAAGAAAACCTACTTTGGCAACAAGCGTGTTTTTGTCTCCAATCCTCACAGGCCCAATCCTCACAGGCCCGAACTTTTCTGTCATCACGTGCCTGGCCTGAGCCAGTCGGCTGCCCTGTAACACGATCACCGCGGCCAGCCTCCCAACCCTCCCGAGTAACTGCAAGTCAGGCGGCAGCGCCGCGATAGCAGCCGCCCAACTAGCGGCTAAAAGGGAAGCGAAAGCAGCCTCAAGCGGAGACCTGGACCTTGGAGGAGGTGGAAGACAGCCCGCTGCAGAGGTGAGCAGGAGGTGCAAAGGAGGGGAGCTATTTGCCAAGGTCAGGAGGCATCCAAGTTCACCTAAACAAAGGCAAAGTACCTTCTCATCTCTGCCTCCTCCCTGTCTTCTCCACTTAAATACAGATGAGATTTGCCTTTGAGCAATGTCCTGGGGCATTTTCTTGGTGCAGAGACCCCTACATGTCTCTCACTAATGTATGCATCCTCTGCCTGTGTTTGTACCGTCTACCTCCTTTATAGTCTTGTTTTTCTAGCACTTGACAGGTAATTCTGTCAAATGGACTAGTTCGGCCACGTGGAGGAGAAACTCCCAAGTCAGAACTCAAAAGAGGAAAATCCAACTGGAAGAGATTGATAGGAAGCCACTGTGGTGGAACTGCTTCTCCCCTCCAACTTGCCAGGAGCTCCTAGACAGGATGGGACATGACAGCTGTCTTAAACTTGTAAAATCCCAAGATGGATGTGTGGGCTAGGAGCTCAACAGCTAGGTCAAAGCTTTTCTGTTGCAGTATGTTGGGATTTACCAGTGGGTTTAGAATTTCTAGCGGCTTGGTGGTACCTATGGCAGGGCTCCCACAAAGCTTACTGGGTGAGAAGAGAAAGGCAGTGTGTGCACATGGGGTGAACAATAGGCCAGTGTGTTTCGGGTGCTTATATAGGCCCTTTGGGGGTTACAGCAAGCAAGACAAGATACAGACTGTTCAGTTTCATGTGCAATGCCAAGTAAATTTCTCTGGTTGGGTTATTAAGACTCAATTCAATTTGTAAAACAGAAAGGCTCTGAGCATGAGCTCAGAGGAAGGGTGCCGATGTGTTCAATAGCAAATGCTGAACACATTCAGAGAGCAAAAAAACAATACTGTTTACTCATTACCTCTCCTTTCATTTGTTCAGCAAATACTTGCTGAGTGCTCTGTGTCAGGCTTGTGTTTGGTGCTGTGGATCTCACAGCAAATAGGACACCAGGCTCCTCAGGGCACACACTCCAGTGGGACATGAATGCTTAAACGCTGCATGTGCCCTGCAGCAAAAGCACTGAAGGGGGCACTGCTTAAAGTGTCCAAAGGGGCTCCTTTTTGTCTCAGATATTAACCTTTCTTTCATGAATTTTGTCTTCTTGAATGAACGTTTTTGTCCTCTTTAAAAAGCCTTACTTACGTACAGACCTTGGTCAGAGTAGCTCCTCAAAACCCTCTTCACTGGAGTCTTTAAGCTGTGCAATTAAATTTCAGGCCAGTCTCAGTCCAGCAGACTGCTCAGCTTTTTCCTAGAATAAAACAGCCTGAAAGGCTGAAGTAATGGGAGTTCCAGTCCTCACGTCAGTAGCCCTCTCCCTGTGTCATTTCCCATGTATGAGATAGAATTTGTGCTATTCCAAAAACAACAGGCAAAGTGTGAGAAAGTCTGGATTTTGCCAGAATCCATGTGATGTTTTGGAAGAAACTGTGTGGAGTCAGTTCTGCTAGCTAGGCCTACGTACTTAGCTTTAACATGGAAGGGGTAGACCAGATGATCCATGAGGTTTTTCTTTTCACCCCTAAAAGTAAATAATTTCAATGACTTCACAAGATATTTACAAAGAAACAATACACATTCACATAAAGATGATATACCTTATACCTATAAAATGGGAACACTCATCAACCATGCAGAATGTTCAAGACCCGAAAATCTCAAAGAAAATCTGAATCGGGCTGTAGACAAATAAAACTTAAAATCAGTCTGTCTCTACTCCTCCCACCCTCACCCCATTCACCATCCTGCATTCAGATTCCTGAGGTCATGACCATCAGCTGTGGCCTCACTGCGTCATTTATCTAGATCAGGGGTTCTGCAAGTAAAAAGCTTGCATAGTCAGAATTATCTGCTTTCAAAAGAACCACACTACAAAGTATCTAATTTGGGTAAGCTCACAGTATATATATCAGATTCCCTGTAAAGGGGAATCAATTCTTTGTTATAAAGCATTAGAATATTTGCTTTTAGTGCATTTATTTTCTTTTTCCTCTCTGAATGCATTCCTATAATAAATCCTATTTCATATTCTCTTCCTATATACTCTCTTATTTGGAAAGTCAGTTATATAACATTTCTTTAGTAAACAGGGCAACAAGCAAGTCTTGTTCATCTTTGTATCCCCTGTGGTTAGCATTGTATCTGGCACATAATGTTTCTTGAAAAAATGATTAATATTATAGAGAAAACATTCTCTTTTCCCTTTGGAATTAAAAAAAAACCCCACACACACTAATCCATTATTCATGACTAACAGAGGTGGATCTCATTCCTACATGTACCTTTACAATCCTGATGCCTACCCTTTATTCATCAACATCAGCACATTCTATACTCTTTGCAGACTCAGTTGGTATAATGAGCACTGAATTCAAGTTCTGCCACTAAATAGCTGTGTAATCTGAAGCTGAATACTGAAAATGTCTATGCCTCCATTGCCTCAGATGGAAAACGGGAATCAGAATAGACGAGCTTTAAGACAACTTCTAGTTCTTAAAGGGGAAACTTCAAAAGGGAGAGAAAGAGAAGAAGCACAAAGATATAACGATTATAGTACCTTAACACTAAATATTTAATAATTGTTGATTTTGTTTGCCAAAATTTCTCACTTGAGCACCACCACTAATAAACAATGTTAAGGAACTTCTTTGGGTGAGGACATGTCTGCCTACCGTGTTTGAGTTCTCCCCTAGAACCCTTCCAATGGACTCTGTTCGCTTAAAACTGAAAATTTGTTTGCAGGCAAGTAGAAAGGCCCAGAAAACAAGCTGCTTTGGCATAAAATATTTAGCAGAGTGATATAGTTATGCAGCTTAGAAGAGTCAGCTACAGATAAGTATCTTGGGAGAAAGCATAGTAGGCCTATTGGCTTAGCCATAGAACAAATGGCATGTTGAGTGATGCTTCATTGCTTCTTATGAAATCTGGTATCAAGAGATAAATGCTGGGACTCCTGCAGCCAAAGGGACCTTCTCACCACCAGTAAACAGTCACTTTCCCCTTTGCCAGAAGGTTTACCTGAAGCAGAAGGTTCCAAGGTCCAATGTACATATCAGCCCCTAATCACTTAGCTTCAGCAACACTCAGTTTCCCCAGCGTGGGCACAGTGGTCATCAGCACCGCCTGCCTTGTGGAATCAATCCGAGCTGCCTCTTCCCAGGGTCAAGGACTGATTGTACAGACAATCATCCTAGTCTCTCTTAGTTTTGTTTCTAATTTTGATGTCTGGTTTTGTTTATTTATACTTTATATCTAGCTTCCATTTCAAAAGACAGCTCCCAATAAAAGGATATACAACAGCTGCAAATAAATAAAAGCCGATTAGGTACTCAATAAATACCTTTCATACTGGTTTCGTGGTGGTGTGATGTGCAGAGAAAAGAAACAGTTGCTTTACTTCCATTGCTTTGCTTGGGAACAAGTAAAGTTGTTAACAAAAAAAAAAAGAAGGAAGAGGAGGAGGCAGAGGAGAAATGGGGTGCCCGTTCTTTATCAGTTATCTTTAATAATCTAATGACACCTGTGGATCTTTCTACCCTTAAAAATAAATGTGGAAAAATTGGCACACTATTTCAGAGGAGACAGACTCCTCAAGACCCTGTGGGAATTGAAATTAATCTGGTTTACAGTAAAGGGAAATCTAATTAGAGTAAAGGGAGAGCTAATTATGAATCTTCAATAAAATATGTCCTACAGATGAGCATTGAATTAATTTTAAAACTTTTAAATGTTTCTGTAATTTTCTGAATAGGTAAAACATACAATATAAATTCAAAAGGCATCAAAAGCCACATGGTAAAAGGATAGCTTTTCCTCTCCCCAGATCCCCTGCTGCCCAGTTCACTACCTCCAAAGCCACCATTGTATCCAGTGTTTTAGATATTCTTCCAGCAATAGTCTAATATGCTATGTATTATTCTATGGGAACAAACAGCATACACACATGCACACTTGTATATGTTACACATAGTGCTTTTTTTTTGCTTAACACTTCCGAGAGTATGCACAAAGCTGCTTTATTCCTTTAATAGCTGCAGAGTGTTTCATTAATAGATGTACTATAATTTATTTAACCAATCTTATAAAAATGTCATAATAAACATCCTTGCACATATGTAATTTTTAATATGAACATTATATAATAGAAAAAAATAATCCGAAGTATAATTGAACATTAAATCTAACTCTGAGCTTACTGACAGCCAAAGCAAAAAGGCCCAGGGGCAGGGAGGCTACTAAAATGGAATGCCTACTTTGTTTTGCATTCCGCAAGAAAGCATACTGCTTCTTCCAAAGAGGAAAGCTTCTGTGCACTAATTTCTTCATAGGAATTTGTCATGTGTATCTTCATAAAAGTATACAGCTTCCTTTGGGGAACTAAATAATGGAGTAAGGAATATCTTCAATTGCAGTTTTGATGTTCTTGTGGCAGATTCTTACAACTATCTCAATTTTAAAAAAAACAGTCTTGTCTGACTGAAACCCAGCATTCCTAGGATAAGCTAAAATGAAATCTGGGAGGAAAAGGTTCAGTTGTGAGCTGGAGGCTGTATCTCCAAAAGCACAGAGAAAGCCTGGGCCTCGTTGTCCTTTCAAGACTTCTTGGGCATGCCAGGTCTCCTGCCCTTCTCAATATTTTCTTAGCTCTTGTCCAGACCTCCAGCCTAGTATTTCTAATTTAGATTTGGGGATAATGGGTTTATGTATCTAAACTGAAGTTTCTTGTTTATCTTTGCATCTCCAGGGCTCCTTGCACATGGTAAGTTCTTCAAAAATGCTCCTGGAAGGAATGGATGAGCTTCTAAAGATCACAGACAATGTGTCATTAGCTTTGCAAGCTCTTGACAAAGAAAATGGTGATGATAAGAGCCTGGGAAAAGGCCAGGATGAGACCCTGACTTGTAAGTGAAGTTCCTGTGGTATGGTACAGAAAAAAGAGTCCTGAGAGTATTAAAACAGTTTTGATGTTTGATCCCCTCCCTTCCTTCCCAAACAGAATGGTTATCTCAACAAGTTTGATCAAACTTTTCATATTTCCCAACAAGCACTGAGGAGGGAAATCCATGGTGATAGGAAGCTTCTGCCTGTTTGCAAATGGTTTGCAAGTCTTTCCATCTCTGAGTATTCCCCAGCTTGAGACATTTCCTTTGATGTTTGGTTCCTTCTCATTAAGACACATGACAGGCTCAGCCCCAAAGGTTAGCTAGCGCCACAACCTTCCTCATGCTTAAATGTTTGAGCTTTTCAGAACTCCAGGCAGCAGGCCATCTGCCAGACTGAAAATGACCCTGCCTTATCCCAGAATCCTATCACTGTGTGAAGGGTGGCTTCCCTGCATGGGCCCTTATCCACTTTGAGGATGTGGGCCAAACCCAAATTACTAAGTAACGTCTGTTGTCCTAGGTGTGAGGCAGGGTCACTTACCATTGGTTTGGGCTGAGACTTCCTGTCCTGAAATGCTTGCTCAGCTGGCCTTCTAGGATCCTCAGATGACACAGAAAATGACTACAGATCACCCTCTGACACTCGAGTCAGCAAAGGAATCCTGGCTGCCATCTGGGTCAGAACAGGATTCAGTGCCCATACTGCACTCTTCTCTTCCATGGTTTTCATAAGAAACCCAGTGAGGCAGAACTCCACACCTACAAGCCACAACAGGCTCTCCTGTTGTCACTCTTGCGACAGAGGGAGCTGGAAGAGGGACAGGTGGCAAAGAAGCCTGCCGGGGAGTACTGCTTCAGGATGGCTGAAATCCATTCCCCCAGCTCCCAGTGGGGGTTGGGCTGACACCACACCAAACATTCTGACGCCTTTGCTTAGATCAGATGCTGTATCCCTGACTGGGGTATCAAAATGTCCCAGAATTTCTCCCAGAAACAGGCTTTTCTGCTAAGCTGAGTGCACCCCTCCTGCTGTAATGTAATTCACAGTGGAGATGGTGAGCAGGCTTGTCTGTCACCTCCTTTTGCTATCCTAACTCCTCAAACCCTTGAAAGCAATTTTCTTCAGGCTAAGTAACCTATAAGAAATGTGGCTTAAAGGGATGCAATATTTCCTAATGTCATAGTGGTAAACATTCATCTAGAAAAACAAAACCAAATACAATCATACACAAAAGAATCAAATATCCTTAGAGATGCTAGAAGCTGGGCCCTGATCCTGGCTCTGCCATCTGTAATCTCTGGGAGGTCACCCAGCCTCCTGTACCTAGGTTCCTTCATCCTTGTTAATGGCAGGGCAGATGATCTGTAATGCTGCTTTTCAACCAAATGATGACAGTATTCAACATGGACAATAACAAGTGTAGGTGAGGATGTAGAAGAACTGGAACCCTCAAACACTGTTAATGGGAATATAAAATGGTGAAGTAATGTGCCCCAAAGTTAAATATATTTATTATATGACTCAGCAATTCTACTCCTAGGCAAAAATCCAGGAGCAATAACGACATATGCCCACACAAAACCTCGTGGATGTTCTGTTCATAGTAACATCATTCATATTAGCCCCTAAGTGACAGCAATCCACGTGTCCATCAACAGACAAACAGATAAACAAAATATGATGTATCTATGTAATGAAACGCTATTTGGCAATAAAAAGAAATGAAGGACTGTTGGGAACATGGATGACCCTTGAAAACATTATGCTAAATGAAAGAAGCCAGTTACAAAAGACCATATACTGCATAACCCCATTTATGTGAAATGTCCCGAGCATGCAGTTCCAGAGAAACAGAAAGCAGATTTAATGTTTGCCCAGAGCTAGAGTGGGAGTGGGAGCATAGAGGCTTGGGAAATTGATGGCCAAGGGGTACAGTTTTCTCTCTGGGATAATGAAATATTCTAAAGCCAACAGTGGTGATGAATTCACAAATCTGTGAATATACTAAAAGCCATTTAAATGCATGTAATAGACAAATTGTGTGGTATGGGAATTACATATCTATAAGGAATTTTTAAAAAGAAAGACTGAAAACAAATACAATTTTAAAGTCCCCTCAGCCTCATCAGCTGAACTTTTGGATTTTTGCCATGCTGATGGGTGAGAAATAATATCATATTGTAGTTTTAATTCACACTTCTCTTATTATGGGGGAGGATCAACATCTGTTTGATTCAAAGTCCATTTATATTGATTTCTTTTTATCACATACAAAATTCCCATATATATTTTTTAGATCTACTTCTGGATTTTCTAACCTGTTATAAATGTCTGCCTGTTCATGCACTAGTACCACACTTTTAATTATCAAAGCTTCATGATAAAACAGGAAATAGGAAAGTCAACCTAGTCAAGCTGGCAGGCACCTCAAGCTAAGTGTAATCCCCGAGCACCCTCCCACCAAATCCAGCCACTCTTCCAGGCTGTCATCTTCCCAGAAAAGTCATGGCATTGTTTCAAATATGAAGAAACACTCCAGCTTTGTTATGAAAACACTTAATAGAGAAGCCGAGAAATGTGATTAGAGAATGAAAAAGGACAAGAGTAAAAATATCATTCAGAAGGGCACATAGAAGTTGCAAGGATACTTGCCAAAGACGCAAACTGTCAAAAAAAAAACCAGACACTTCATTTCTTGAGACTAAGGGCCTGGGCTAACGCTGTGGCAGCCCTTGTCCAAACTGCAGCCACATTGAGCAAAGGCGAGTCCTCAGCAAGTGCGGCTGAGTCTGCAGATGGGCACTGAGGAGTTTGAGCCTGGACAGAAGATTTCTGCCTTGAAGGACAAATCTGAACACCAGTTTGAAACATTGGATGTTCAAATGAACAAATCGAAGAGACAGTGCATAGCACAACAACCTAACACACCATGAAACCATGAGGATATGCCCCCAAAGAGTGGCAGATGCCATGGGCCTTGACTTCAATATAGCAGTACCACAGCGTCAGATAGGTGGTGTCAGCACAGGAACAGGATGCACTGCCAGGGACATACCCACCTCCATGATCCAGTGTAGTGTAAATTATTGGTGCTGAACCAGGGCTTCTGAAATACTCCTTGCATGTGTAGACAGATGTGTTATACTAGCCTTGCCGGGGAGACACTTGCTAGGCCAGGTCTCTGTGCTTTCTTTCGGCTTGCTTACTTACCAAATACATGGGAAAACTCCAGAAAGTCTCTCCCTTACCTGATTTTTATAGTTCTGTATAGTATGTATGTAAGTATGGGGGACATATTTTTGTAGGTGTCTTTGGCTTGCTGTAAATGAAATACTCCTCAAAACTTAAAAAAGCCTAGTACCAAAGTGACAGCAATCCACGTGTCCTACTTAGAATAAAGATTTTTATTTTTTAATTCAAAGTAGCTTATCTCTGTATGCACTGACTTGTGAGGCATACAAATAAAAGCAGAGAAAAACACACTTAATATGTTTACATGGCCCAAAACTTCTCATCAGCATATATAATTGTCAATGCCATTTTTTTGTGCTGTTTGCTTATTTTACTATCTAAGTAGAGATGCAATTAGTTTTCAATCTATAATCTCTGTTTACAACCTTTGAACACTGAAATTTTTATCCAGTAGTGTAATGACTATTGTTTGGATTCCTTAAATTAAAAAATTTTTATTTGATTATTTTCCTCAGATAAATAGGAAAATTTTCACATCACACTAGAAAACAAAAATGAGTAAACCTTCATTTCCTCACTAATTAAATAACAATTTTATTAAGACTCCCAAAATAAAATCTGAAAAGATTTATCCTGTCATAATTTCAAATGTAGATTTCAAATACATCTCTAATGATTCTCCTTCTAGCCAATTCTTATTAGGCTGCGTTTTAAAAGTTGGTTAATGTGTGACAGTCGTGTCCACTTTGCCAGAGAACTGTTGATTCGTTTCAGAAGTCTTGCTCCTTGTTTTTAAGCCAACCAATAAAGAATACGAAGACTACAAAATTGAACCAACTTAAGTTAGAGCTACTTTTTAAGTCCTAGTCAAATAATTTTATCTTACAGCAGCAACTCTTCAACAACTTAGAGAAATGAAGAGAGAATTAATACTTTTTAAAAAAAGTTTTGTAATATATTTTTATAGTCTCAAGACCTAGCTTCCCTCATCCCCTTCCCTGTACTACTCTTCTTACCTTCTGCTGTCTCCTGGGTTATTTTTGCTGATTTATTTCTCTACATAAATTTTAGAATCAGTTTGTCTGGTTCCAGGAAAAACAACAACAAGCAAACAAACCAATTGGTATTTGTATAGAGATAACTTTGAATTTACAAGTTAATTTTGGGAAAACTACTGCCTTCATGATGCTTAGTCTTACTATCCAATTACATTGTGTGTCCCTGGGAGTATTTCATTAAAGTTTTCCTCATGCAGATTTTGCACATTTCTTGTTAAAGATATTAGGCATTTGTTGTCTCAGCTTTTATTTTTTCTAACTAGTTGTTTATACATATTAAGGTTATTGATTTCTGAACTTAATTTTATATCTTACTAGCTTACTCAATTCTCTTATTATTTGTGGTGTTTTGCAATTGATTCTCTTGGATGTTCTAGGCGTACAATTATATTACAGTAGTCACTCTTTATCCACAGTTTTGCTTTCTGAGGTTTCAATTACCCACAGTCAACCCGTAGTCCAGAAGAAATGGTCCCCCTTCTGGCCAGAAAGTCAGTAGTAACCTAATGCTAGGTCACAATCGCCTAACATCATCTCATCACGGAGGTATTTTATGCTCTCACATTACCATGATAAGAAAGGTGAATACAATACAATAGGTATTTTGAAAAAGAGAGACTACATTCACATAACTTTTATTACAGTATATGTTACAATTGTTCTATTTCATTATTGTTACTAACCTCATACTGTGCCTAATTAATAAATGAAACTTTATCATAGGTATGTGTGTACATGTGGGGCTCGTTACTCTCCATGGTTTCAGGCATCCACTGGGAGTCTGGGAACGTATGCCCCCTGGATAAGGGGAACTGTTCTAACAACAGTGATAGTTTTGTCTTTTCCTGCCCAATTCGTTACCTCTGCTTATTTTCTCTTGTCTACCTGCATTGACAAATACACATTTAATGTTAAAGTCGTTGTGATAGTGAACATAATTCTCATGTTCAGGACGTTGACAGACATGTACTATCTTAAATGCAAGTCCAGTTCCTCTCCACCCTAACCCGGAAGCCTTTCCTAGCCAGTCCCTTCTCAGTCTGTAGGCTTCTATTATCTACTATCCTGTACTGTGAGGCTTGGTTCCAACTGGACTATAAGCAAATTGAGGGCAGTGGCCTGAGGGTCTACTTCCTGGTGTGCCCCACGTTTCCCCCCAAAGCCAGGAGGTCTTGGACAGAGCAGGTTCCCAACAAATGGTGCTTGTTAGGTGAGTTGAATTTCATCATGTTGGTGACAGTATCTGGGAGACCTAGGGAAGTACTCTCCTGAAGCAACCCAAACTTCCAGCTTCTGTTTTCTGCCAATAAGAGAGGATGGGAGTTGGGAGTAGGTGAGAAGGGCCTATTAGAGTAGGTTCTCTAGAGCCAGCCTCTGCCCCACACACCTCAGGTTTTCATTGTCAGTTTTCATCTCACTCTTCTACTGTTACCTTTACCAACCCACAACACACAACTTACCTAGCCTGGGCCAGAAGAAAGGCCCTCAGAACCAGCCTGGGAACAAGTCTAAAATGCAGTTTTCTAGGCTCTATACCAAGAGATTCTGACTTGGTGTATAGCCTGGAAATCTGATTTTCTGCAGACCCCTCAGTGACTCTGACAGGGATTCCTGAGGTATGTCTGGAGAAGACACTAGTCCAGTGAACTGAATCCTCTGCTCGACTTGTCCACTGCACCTACGCTGAGTACCTCCCGGGGAAGGACAGCAGAGAGCCTCTCCTCACAGCACCTACAGACGCCCAGCAGAGGTCACACAAACAGGAGGTGTTGTCAGTCCCATTCCACAGCCAAGGGAACTAAGGGTCAGAGAGGATAATATGACCAAGACCACAAAACTAGTAAGTGATAGATACAATTAAGGGATAACCTTGAGAAAGGTGTCAGATTTCAAGGGTCACTTTCTTAACAATTTCTGTATATAAATATACCTATCATTTGAATCGTCCAAAGTTCACAAAATGCTTCAATTTCAGTCAGCATTACAAATCCAGCCCACGTGTGCAGTGACCTGACATCACAGAGGTTAAGGAACCTGTTCAAGCAAGTCAGGCAGAGCCCCGGCTTCAGCCCTGGCTCCTTGGCACCATCGGCCATCAGCAGCTAGGCTACAGTGGAGGTTCAAAGGACAGAGATTTCTTCTGAATGAGACAGGGTCATACTGAGGCAAAGAATGAAGCTATTCAAAAAAAGGGTTCGTCACAGCTCACTTCTTATAAAGCCAATTCCAGGCAGACAAAGTCCCATTGCCAACCCCCTGATTTATATTAATGCCTAGACCAATTTAACCTCCAGAAGTGGGGCCCAGGCAGAGGTGTTTGCTTTGTTTTGTTTTTAATTCCCTAGGTGATTTTAATGAGTAGACAAAACGTTAAAAATCAGAGCATCTGTTCATTTGCTTTTTCTTCAAGGTCAAGAGGGGAATGGGGATGGGAAATTGGCCAGGCCCAGGAACACATGAAGTCCCTGGTCCTCAACAAGGATTCTGCACATCCTTCTGTGAATGGCCATCTCAGCCTTGCCTGCCCCTGGGGATTAGCCGGGAGCTTTGAAAAACATGGAGGCCCAGGTCCCAACCCACAGACTCTTATGTAATTGGGCTGGGGAGGAGCCTAAACATTGGGAGTTTTAAAAGCCCTTAGATAATTCCAATACACAGATTATGGGCATTTCTGTTCAACAAGAATGTTGGTGATGAAACCCCCAGCTGTTGAAGGACACCTGTCCTCTGAGTGACAGTTGCCTGCTAATTTCTCTGGAGTCAGGTTTGTTCTCTTCCCTCCTCCAAACCTGAGCTCTGATTTTCACAAGCACACCCATGTACAGCCCAAGAGCTCTTGATAAGGAAAAGCCTCCCATAGAAACTGGAAAAGGTCAGCAGATGTGTAGTGCTGACTGGTTGAGATCCTGATGACACATCACTCCTGCCAGGCAGGAGCTACATGTGAAGGCAGGAGGCTTGCCGGGGCCTGTCACAACCTTGCCCTCCCTAGGAAGGACACATCTGGGACTCCATGAGGAGGACAGCTTTCCTGCTGGGCCCTGGCCTGTGCTTGTGTGTGACCTTCTGGAACTCAGTCACATGGTGAGTCTGCTCAGACAGTTTTAATTCAGGAGCTGGGGGCACTGATCTGGTGGTCTAGGGGCAGAGCATGGAGTAAGGACCTGTCTGTCCACCAGTCTTCACCCAGAAACCTGAATATTTTTCTTCAAGGCATCTTCAGAGATTTTGGGGGTGCTTCTGGCTGCTTTGGTCAAGCCCAGGTGGGAGAGGCTGCTGTCTACATTCAAAGGGAAGGAGTGGATCCTCTATGCTATTGATGAAGTTTCCAGACCCCCAGCACTTAGGGTTTGGGTGCATGATTAAAGCTTAATACTTTGTCTATTGTTTTGTTCTCTACTTTGGGACTTCTCAATTTGTTATTCCAAGGAATGAGGACTTAAATTTAAGACAGTGGTAATCCCAGAGAATGCTCAACTTGTGGGAAATCTGGAATGGATGTCTAAGCATATCTAAGAAAGAATTTGAGAAATTGAGAGCCACCCTTCCCCCAAAACTAGAAAAATGAAAAAATGACATGGTTTGTGTGAAAATGAACAAATGTTCAGAACAATAATTCTTCTTCCACAGGTTCAGTGAACTATCTCATGTGAACTGTGTCCTTGTACATGGCGCAGTCTAGCTCTTGAAGCTTGACAGCAAGTGATCACTCAAATATTTACTGACAGTGTGAAAGGCTTGAAGGAAGCCTGAGAAAACACAGTGGAAGAAGAAAGCCATTTCAACACAGGTATTTATAACAGCATTGTCTGCAACAGTGACTGTCCTTAAGCATATACTCATTCACTCAAATGGTATTTATTAATGTCACTCTGTGCCAAATTTGTGTGGAGGATAGAGAGATATTTAAGATAAAGTGTCTACCCCATGTCACAGTCTAGAAGGGGAGAAAAAAGGTGGCAGCTGTCACAAAGCAAAAGTACAAATAAAATGTCCCTGATGATTGTTTTCAGTTAGAAGGAGAACCCTGAAAATGGGCTGAACATTGACTATGATGGGTTCAATGGGATCTCAAGCAGTCATTGCAAAAAACAACACAAACATGTACCGGGGATGTGGTGGGAAAATATTTTATATATTTCTGTTTCAGTGAAGGGAAAGCCACCTATCACCTCAGTGACAGGCAGATACTAGAGAGATAAAATATATCTGAAGAAAGCTTAAGATCATCTCTTGTGGTATTTATTCTCTATTCCACAAGGGACCCTTGGATTCCAAGAAGACAGTGTTTCCAAGTAGGCAGCCACCTTGATGGGTGGCCCACTAGGCAACCACAAGAATTTTTTTCCAAAATAAAAAAAGTTTGTTATTTCTGAGAAAAAAAAGTAAATACAAGCTCATTGTTAAAAGTAAGTCAGATGGGAGGCGGAGCCAAGATGGCGGTGTGAGTACAGCAGCGGAAATCTCCTCCCAAGACCACATATATTTTTGAAAATACAACAAAGACAACTCTTCCTAAAAGAGAGACCAGAAGACACAGGACAACATCCAGACCACATCCACACCTGCGAGAACCCAGCGCCTCACAAAGGGGGTAAGATACAAGCCCGGCCTGGCAGGACCCGAGCGCCCCACACCCCAGCTCCGGGTGGGAGGAGAGGAGTCAGAGCGGGGAGGGAGAGGGAGCCCAGGACTGCTAAATAGCCAGCCCTAGCCATCCACACCAGAGCGCAGACACAGTGCATGCATGGGGTCCTGGATACTAGGGAAACAGGGCAGTAAGACCTGTGATGGGTCCCTGCAGCTGGCACCCTGGGGACAAAGAAAAGTGAGTGCTTTTTGGAAGTCTTAAAGGGACAAGGACCCCAAGGCCAGATGGAAGCATCCTGAGACACTTAGTCCAGCAGCAGGGAACTCTGGGGACCCTAAACCCCTGGATAGCAGGGCAGCTCAGAGGCCCCTCATGGAGATAAACAGCCTCCCAGCTGTTCCCCCTCCAACGCGGCTCCACCATATCGGAGCAGCAGTCCGAGGAAGGCCAAGCCCACAGCAACAGCGGAGATAAACTCCATAGTGGCAGGGCAAGAATCAGAAGCCCCATCTGGAGCGCAGCTGCCCATCACAAGCCACTAGAGGTCGCTGTTCTCCCAGGAGAGGAAGGCCACAAACCAACAAGAAGGAAAGTTCTTCCAGCTGTCACTCGTGCCAGCTCTGCAAACTATCTCTATCGCTATTGAAAGGCAAAATCAGAGGCAGACAAAAATTACAGAGACAACACCTGAGGAGACAGACCTAACCAGTCTTCCTGAAAAAGAATTCAAAATAAAAATCATAAACATGCTGACAGAGATATACAAGAGCTAAGGGATGAAGTCCGGAGGGAGATTACAGACATCCGGAAGGAGATTACAGAAGTGAAACAAACTCTGGAAGGATTTATAAGCAGAATGGATAAGATGCAAGAGGCCATTGATGGAATAGAAACCAGAGAACAGGAATGCATAGAAGCTGACACAGAGATAAAAGGATCTCCAGGAATGAAACAATATTAAGAGAACTGTGTGACCAATCAAAAAGGAACAATATCCGTATTATAGGGGTACCAGAAGAAGAAGAGAGAGAAAAAGGGACAGAAAGTATCTTTGAAGAAATAATTGCTGAAAACTTCCCCAAACTGGGGGAGGAAATAATTGAACAGACCATGGAAATACACAGAACTCCCAACAGAAAGGACCCAAGGAGGACAACAC